CTTCTGCACCCCCTGACTCAGACCAACTCTGCTTTGAATTAAAGAATATATTTTCAACCATGTCCCCATGGTCTGCTATTGGATTCTATTACCAGCACTTTTAAGAGCACTGAGAGTTTCAGACTGGCTTTTCCCACTTTTGTTGGCTTTGGGAAGAAAGGAGGCAGGGAATGGTGCCTGCCAAAAACCTCAGAAGGCAGATCTCCATCCCTCCTGCCCGGGGTGGACATAGCTGCTTGGAGGCAGCAACACAGATGAAAATATCAAGACTGGAATGGGGGAGGGGGATATCTGAGCCCTCCAGGCTCTTTTACCCCTTTCCCCAGGGCCACAGGCATCTGAGGGGGCTCCTGCAATCCACTGACAACAAATTCTACCTCAAAAGCCAAATTCTACCTCCCCTCCTCCTGGGAACCAGCTCAGGGTGCCTCAATTGGAGTGCCCCAAGCCTTTGGTCAGTGTACACTGAGTTGCTACAACCACAGCTTTCACTTTCCTTACCCCAGGCCTGCAGGAAGTGTCAGGTATCTCACCCGAGGGGTTATAAAGCATTATTACATCAGCCCAAACACCAAACCTGCAGTGCAGAAACAAAGACACGAGCATGCAAAGCCACTTGTTCACCCAAGGCCAAGAGCCAGGTAACTGCCTGCAAATGGATTTTAATGTCTGTGTTCCCTGTAGACATAACTCCAGGACAGCAACAGAAGTTCCAGAACGTTTCTTATTCCAGGAAACTCTTTGTTTCAGCCACAACCAAGTGTTCCATATAATTTAATAACTGTTGCATTGATTTCTCCTAAATCACCACAGCTCTGTGCACTGCAGCACTTCTAAAAATTAATTCTTTTTTTAAGAGCAGGTTAATTTCTCCTCCTGTTTTAACAAGGAAGATTAACAGGAGATTGCAAGGGGCTGGTGGTGAGGAGAGGGCTGGTTTATGATTAACATGTGTGGTCAGGAGCCCCCATCCAGCCCAGCAGATCAAACAAGGCTAGAACTGCATCTTTTCTGAAGGTGACTCTGCCCAGAAGCAACCAATTCCTTCTGGCCCACAGGATAAATCCATCTGGCCTCACCTCCTCCCTCCAGCCCAAGCACAAACCATGTTTCAAGAAGGGGACCAGAGTTCCTCCCAAAGCATTTACATCCAGAGCTGCTGCTTCACTGAGGGGAGAAGGAGGATCTGCAGACGCACCATGTCCCCAGTTCCACCTTCCCCTGGAGCTGCTCCCCCTCCCAGGCTTATTTCTCAATTAACAGGACACATGAAGTCAGCAGAGGAGGTTTCTGTGTGTTCAGCAATGTCTTGCTCTGGAGCCACAAGTCGCACAAAATTAGGCAAAGGGAACACAGACTGCCATCAGAGATAACAGTTTCAACTAATTCTGAACTGACCAGGGCAGTGAAGTAAAGAAAAATCAGTGGTGGCCAAGAGCAGCAGGTATTACATGGCAGGGATGCTCTCCTAGAGGATGCTTTGACTCAATGAGGCTCTGGGGACAGACACAGCTCACAGGGACAACGCAGGCCAGAGTCAAGAAGTCAAACCCTCCTGGATTCCATGTTTTATTATGGCAATTAACAGCTCTCACCATCAGTGTCACAAGACAGCACCACCACGGCCACAGTGCCTTCCTTTGCAGAACTGCTGCTCATGAGTGCCAGATCCCAATTCAGCAGCACCTGGGACTGCAGGAATAACCAGCAGGAAGGGAGGGAAGCAGCAGAAACTAAACCTCACTCTTCTCAGGGCTGTGATTTGTAAGGACACGTGGGCAGCCCGTAGACTTTTCCATAAGGACATGGCACCATGTGGTTGGGATGAGACTTTGGCAGAAGACAACAGTTCCCAAGACCAGAAACACTGTCAGACCCAACGTGGCCTCCCAGAACTATTTTCTGAACCTCCGCTCAAGCCACTTGTTTATATAAAAAATGCCAACAGATCGGCAAGGATGAATCACCCAGGAGCAAGCCAGAACACAAGAATATTGTGGAGGAAACAAGTTCAAGTTCACATCAGGCTGTTCTGGCCATGCAGAGAAGCACCTTCCCTGCTCAGCAAGGTGAAAGGAACTACAGAGAAACTCCCAGAGCCATTAGAAAATGTGGCAATTCCCACTCTCAGCATCCTCAGGTCAGCAAAGCCTTTGCACTCTGCAGGACCAGGACTCCCATCACAAAACATGGAAGGGTGAGGAGAGGAAATGCCAATACCAGAGGAAAACGCACCAGAACTCCCACTCCCCAAACCCTATGGCACATGGACAATCACTGCCACCAACAGATAGGGTTTGCTACACAAATGCCTCAATCATTTGCTCTTTAGACCTTTCAAATCCTTCTTCATTATTCCTCAAAATTCTGGATTCTGCTATGAGAGCAAAGCCAAGAGAACAGCCTGAATCCACGTGTGGAGGCAACACAAGTCCTCACACAAGCTCCTGATCCATTTTGCCTGCCCAAGGACCACGGGTTGGATCAGGAATCTCTTACCAGCATCTGCAGCAGACTCCTCATGGCCTCGCCTCTTGGGCTCCACTGCTCCATCTGGCACCGTTGGACCAGCCCTTGCCACTCCTACCATGGCAGCAGTAAAGTTTGGAAAAGACAGGTACTTTCCTGTACAGCCACCTGGAAAGATGGAACCACTCAGCTGCTCCCACCCCTCCTGGATGGCACATTTCAGCTTCCCAAGACAAATGTTAATATTTAACAATTTGGCGTCTGGGACAATGAGAAATCAGTAAAGTGGAAAACATTGCTGAAGAAAGGACTGGAAAAGTTCCAGACACTCCCAGATGGCTCCAGACTGATGCCACTGTCTCCAATTCAGGGCCTGCTGCTCTACCAGAGCCAGGCTCCAACTCTGGCTCCTGTGAGCAGATCTGCAGCTTTTCTCTGGATGAGCAGTGCCTGATGGCTCAGAGACCCCTGGGGTTCATCCACGACTTCCATGTCAGTGCTTAGTGCATCCAAATCCGAGTGAGCAGCAGGAGAGACCGTGCAGGGTGCTCAGAAGTCCAAAGCTGAGTGTTCAAGAACGCTGACCTGGCTCCATGCTGCAGAATGAGCTGTTAGAGGATGACTGGAGCCTGAAATTCCTCTTTCAGAGACAGCCCCAGAGGTGAAATAACCGAATGCTGTCCTTTGGCTCTGGGGAGCTCCAGACACATCCCAGCCCTCAGAGGTACCAACTCCAGCAGGGAACTTCAGCATGGAAAACAGAGCTCTAACAAAGCCTGATCCACTTTTCCTCAGCTTCAGCACACACAGGGGGACACATCACTGCCCTGTTACCTGTGGAATTTCCAGGGACCAGAGACAGACAAACCATGGAACAGGACAGGAGAGCACCATAAAGCTGCTCTGCTCTTCGTGGGAGCACATGGCACTACCTGGTGGTACAATACCCCAGTGAAGGAACTGTTTTGGCTGTGTTGGGTTCAGAGGACACTTTGCTGTGTCCATACTGGGGGCAGAACACCTGCACACCACAATAGGTGCAGTCTCACTACAGAAAGAAAGAGTCCAAACAAAAGCCCATTTGCCTAAAATCACCTCACTCTCACCCATGGCTTCCTCTCCCAAAGAGTAAGAGCAGCACAAGAACTATTTCTTGCTCTGGGAATCATTTGAGGTTATTCACACCTGCTTTGTCTCAGAGCCTCATGCTGTTTTCTCACCCAGCCAACACAAAGCATCTCCTTTCACAAAGAACCCCAAAAAATCTGCTCCTCCAAGCTGGCTGAGATCAATTTCTGTGATGCAGCAGGGAAGGAAGCTGACTGACCACTGAGATACTAGAATATACATAAGTTAAAGAAATAATTAAGCCCTTTTCCCGTTGAACCCATCAACCAAACCCCACCAGACCTGGAGGTGAAACCTATGGGCAGGGACCCCTCTCCCCTTCCCACTGCAGCCTGGTAAATGGTCTCACAAGTTGATGAGATCACCTTTCTGCCTCATTCCTCCCACAATTAATTCTGCAGAAGGCAGAGATCAATGCTCCTGTGATTCAATTATTTATCTGGTTTAATCCAGCCAGAAAACCCTGACCAGCAGCTTCCCAGTGCCTGCCCAGGTGGGTCCCAGATGTGAGGCACGGGGAGCTGGATGGGGGGACCACACCAGTGGCCACCTCAAAAAGCACAAAACATGCACATCCAAACCTGCAGAAATCACAGCCCCAAGGAGGGATAAAACCACTCTTTAGCCGCGCCAAGAAACCAAAAACATAACGAGGGGGGAATTAATACATACACACAGGCAGACACCAGTGTCTGTATTAATTACTAGAAAGTATATAACCCATCCCTTCTTTATTCCAAAGTTAGCTCTGTCATATCAACTATTTGCAGCTTTTACTGACTAATCTTCCCATAAGATGTTGCCAAAAGCCAGTGCAACATTCCAAAACCTCCATAGAAAGAGTTCCTTCCCACCCAGAGAGATCCCCGGGGTGAGGGAGCTCTGGATCCCCAGAGACATGGAGAGACTCGGGGTCACTGTTCATTCCTCCCACACTTCACTTCTGCAACAACTGACCTGGCTCCACTCTTGGAATGCTGGGCACTGAGTTGATGTAATCCCTAAATATTCACTATTCAGGAATCCACCACTTGTAACCAGTGAGGAAGAATGTGCAGCACAAGAGCATTTTGGGAGGGAAATAACTGAAGAGTCTGTTCAATTCACACTCCAGGACCCTCCTGCAGCCAGGACCACCCCCAGCACTGCCAGTGTTTATGCCAAACACTCCTTTAAAAGACAGAAGCAGTTTTACCACAGAGAAGCTCCTACCAAACCATGGACACTTTTCTAATTCCGGATGTCAGAGGACTGACCCCAACTGCACACAATTCCTCTATGGGGCTGGACAAATTTATTATCATCCATCTATTCATTTTCCCTCAGTAAGGCAACACTGAAAAATAACCCCCAGCACCACAAAGCCCCGTTTTTCCCCAAAGACATCAGGAACATGCACTTACCTGAGGAAAGTCCCCATTTCTTGGTAAGAAGTCAGTGGGGTCCACAGTTGCATAGTTTGTATCCAAGAAATGTGGTCTGCTGATGGAATCCATATAAAAATCCTGAGGGGGGTTAAAATATTGCCTGTAAGGAAATGGGAGAAGCAGTTACTACTCCCTGTCAGTCCCCAGCACTTCTCCACTCACTTCAGCCTCTGGCAGCAGTGAAACTGAAAATTCAGGATGTCACATACAGGAGAGGGATTTTATTGGATATTATGCAGAAGAGAGATGGCAAAATAATATCTCTACCAGTTCCATCCCACTTCCCAAACTCAGCAGTGTAAGAACACTGAATTAAGAATATAATTCTTGGCAATCTGTGTAACCAAGAAGGATTTAATAGATAACAATGGTCTGCAGTACCCAGTATTTCAGCCCTGATGACAAAGCTGAATGAAGCCCTGGGACGTCCCAGCGTGATGGGTGTGATGAACCTGCCAGTCACACCACATAAGGACACAAGTGCAGGGAAACATCACACCTGAATGCCAGTTTGGGGTCACAAAACCCCCAAAACAGCCTCACAAGCCAGCTCTGACAGGGAAACCCCCCTGCTAACCCACCTGGACAGGGGGTTCAACACTCACAGACCCCAAAGGCAGGTCAGAATGGAAAGGCTGGAGACTGGGAAACACAGAGAGAACTGTTACACAGAGACAGGAACTAGGGATGTGACTGGTGTGAGTTCAAAGGCAAGATCTCTGCTCAGCTAACAAGGAACAAAGCAAAGATCCTGACTTCTCCTGGGCAGGGCCATGCCAGCTTCCTCCTGTTCCCTGTGCCAAGCATCCGCTTCCTCCGGGCAGCCAGGGGCAAAAACTGCACAAGAGCAGCCCAATTTCCTTCCTCCTGCCCAGGAGCAGCTGCTGGCCTCTGCTCCACGCCACCTCCTGGTTTGCACAAGGTTTCCCTCTCCTGCAGGAGCAAGGAATGTGCTTTGTAATCCTTCCCGTAAGGGGCCGTGCTCCTGCTTGGGCAATTGCCACGGGACATCCACCCTGCCTGGATGGTTTCCTCTTGTGGGGAGCTGGACCTGGATGTTCTCCCCAATGCCCAAAGAACCCACAGCCAGAAATTTGAATGGACTGCTGGGGGAAGGGAGAAACAGAGTTTGAACAGAACTCCTGCCCAGGAGCTGGGAATGCCAAGCTGCCAAAGGATTATTAAGCAATTAAGGTGCCATGTGTGGCCAGCAGCTCGTTAACACACCCGGTGAACATTTACATGTGGATTTATGTGCAAACACAGTTATCTCCTCTGATAAATACATTTTTCCTGCTTGTTTCCCATCATTAAAGATAATATCCTCAAAAACGAACAGCTCCTGCTCGTTTCCCAGCACTAAAGATAAAATCATCAAAAACCAACAGTTCCTTCCTCCTTTCCTTTTTTTTTTTCCTTCTTTTCTGTGCTGCCATGGCTTTACCTGCTGCAGAGACACCTGAGACCCTGTGTGAACACACCTGCACATCCCAGCTCCCACAGTCCAGCCCTGACTGTTGGCTCTTTGTAATCCATCCAAGGAAATTAAAATCTGGGCATAAATTCTGGGAATGAATGTATTTCCACACAGGAAAAGGCTGGTTTAAACGGCTTTCAAGTCGAGGCCGCTGTGGTCTCGCCGTCTCTCACACGAGGACACAGCTTGGCCAGCGTCAAGGAACTAACCAAGGAATAGGAAAACTATTTTTACTGGAAAAGTGAGCACCCCCTCCTGTTTCCCTGGCATTTTATGGCCTCGACAGGGGTCAGTCAAGGTAATGAGAAGAAAGCTCCAACCTCCCTGGCCTGCTGTGGAATGACAAGCTCTGGTTGGTATTTTGTTACTCTTAATCTTGGTCTTCCAATCCATCCATGTGAGATGCACTTGGTTCCTGTAGTTTGCAGGGAGAGCCCACAGCAGCTGCAGGCACTGCTCTGAGATCCTCCTTGGAAAGCCCCTAAATCCCTTCAGTACCTTTGGAGCTGGGCTTTACTTGCCCTTGAGTCAGAATTCAAAGCTGTTCCCCCTCATTTGCAGGGCTGGCACAGAGCCGTTGACAAGTTTGCTTGAATTAAACTGGGACAAAAATGCTTTAACTGGAAGAATCAGGTCAGTGACCCTGTCACAGACAAGGTGTGAACACACCCTGCAGCAAACTGCCCTGTCCTCACCTGCCCAGCCTCTCCAGGGCTTAGCTCCTGGCAAACTGCTCCATGGAAGCTACTGTGGGTCAGCAGCTTCCCTCAGAGGTTCACTGGACAACCCAAAACCATTCCAGAAAGGAAATTTATGCTGGTTTCATCATACCAGCCATCCAAAGAGGAATGCTCCGTTGCAATTCTGCTGCATTCCAGCTGCTCATCCGTGACCCAGTGCATCCAAAACTCTTCTGGGCCTACAGTGCCACTTCTCTGAGACCTCTCATGTGTGTTTTGGCCAGGCTCCATCCTCTGTCCTCCACTCAGAGACACAAACTTCACATCTCAAGCCACTGGAAGATCAAAGAGAGCTGAGAGGCCACGGACTGCCTCAGCACCAGCCTGGAGCTCTCCTTCCTCATTAGACACCAATCCATGTTTTTCAGAGCCTGCTTTACTATTTCAGCAAGCAATGCTCCATGTAGAGGTGGAAAAGGGCATAAAACCAGCAAGAAAAGGGGTCGTGTGTTTTGGAAACTGGGGACAAAGCTTTGCTGCAGCTGTGACACTTCATCCAACAGCACAACTGGGCTGCCCCAGATCCCCCCCAGCCAGGAATGTGCTGAGACTCCAGCAGTAAGGAAAGCTGAGATCTGCAGGGATAATTTCCTCAGAAAAGAGCTGAGCTGCTGCTCCTCAGAGCCCTGAACCTCCCTGGTTCTTTCAGGGAGGTTTAATACACTGTTGACATTTGTCAGGTTAAGAAAATCTGAACCCAAGAGGCCACATTTGGGGTCTTCTAAAGAAATTCTCTAGCATGAAAGGGACCTTCTGAAAGGAAACAGGAAAAACCTGCTTCAGGATAAAGGTGTTGCTATGAGAATAAGCCCTGTCCAAACACAGCCACTTGCAAATGAGATTTCTCTGCAAGGATTCTGAGGAAAAACGTGCACCACCTCTAATGCCAGCTGCATTCTTCTGTGTTACAGCATGGGCTACAATTACAACTGCTTTTAAAATCCCACTTTCCAATATTTCCATTCCTTCCAGGATTCCTACCTGTAACCCCCTCACTCTAAATCCACCTAAAACAGAGTCAGTGCCATTTTCAAATACAAAAAGCACAGACTTTTTTTTTTCAATGTGAAATGCAGATAAGGAAAATCTCACCTGAAAGGTGATTTTTACAGCTCCTGGGGTATGAAGAACAGGAAGCTAAAGGTGCAGCCTTGGCTAAACCATTCCCTAGCAAATCATTACTACAATGGGCCTCATTTCCAGAAGTAACTCCAGCAAAGGCAGCAAGTCCAGGTTTGTGTCAGACACAGGCATGTCCTTGCAGGATTGGGCTGTAATGTTCCCGGCAGTGCTGATACGAGCGGCACCGAACAGGAAGAGAGTGAGGGGCAAAACCAGAACAAATGGTCAAGAAGGAAAAAAAAAAAAACCAAAAAAAAAAAACCCAACGCAATAGATAAACACAATCTAATCTTGTGGTTCAATGCAGCAAAACAGAAATTCTGTTATAGCTCTCTGGAGGATTCACAACGTGTAATTTACAGGAATCCTGCTCAAAAAGCACAGCCCCTTCCAATCAGCCAGGCTGGCCGAGAGCAAAGGGCCTGAATGGATCTGAGAAGTCTCCTGTTCTCCTGAGGGGAGGAGCTGGCACAGCTCAGCTCCCTCAGCACCTGTGGGGCAGCTCCTGGTACCCTCTCATGGGGAACTGCCCTGTCCATCCACCCCGTGCTGCCAGGCAGCTCCTGCTGTGGCCAGAGGGGACCAGGGCCACCAGGGCAGCAGAACCAACACAGGGACATGATTCCTCTCATCCCCCTGACAGAGGGGCTGATCCTCACTGCTCCCATCTGCCTGCAACTCACATCCTCACAGGGAGGGATCCCACCATGAAAATGCCCAAAATCCCTTTAGGAGGGAGGTTACATTAAATCCCTAGTTTAATTCCAAGCATCTGGAACACAGTTGTTAGTACAGGATGTCGAATTCTGCTTCTTTCAATTCTCCTTCCTCCCACCTCTGACCTAGATAAAGAACACATCCTGTGTATCTGTGCCACTCCCTGGATTCACAGAGACCAAAGAAGCCATGGATCAGCCTCCAAACCCCCAGCCCCACCAGAGGCCCAAGTCACTCAGTGATGGCACAAGGCCACTTTATGCTGTCCAAACATTTGTCATATCCCACCTTGTGATCCAGGATAGAGGTTCATTGTAAAGAGGGAAAATGAAAAACAACATTTTTCAGTACAGACGTGACGTGGCTGTTAGTGTCAGTCACTTCCAGTGACGTGGCAAAGGATTTTAACTTCACCCAAAACCTGACACCTGGGACAGGTAACACCTCCCTCCACATCTGTGCAAAGCTAGAGACTACCCAGTGTGTTTGCTCAGTCAGATCTGTTAAGAATTCCATTAGTGTTACATATCCAGGCTAAACCAAGGCTGCTCCTCCCTTATTGCAGCCTCCAGGTTTACCAGAAAACAAAGGTTTTATCTCATTTTTAAAAACAAAAAGCTGTTTGCTGCTGTTTCCAAGCTGCATCAGTGTCTGAAATGCCACAAGATCAGTGAATGATGCAATTATTTCCCCATCAGATCGTGAAATAAAGTAAACATGGAAAGTAGTAAAGAAACAGTTGAATCACGGGGTGTGCAAGAGCAGAGGGGATTAGACAAAGGAGAACAGCACTCACTGGTTTTCACTTGGGAAGGACGAGGTTGGGAAGGAGACTGAGTAGCAGCTACTCCATGAGTCGGCGGCCAGCATGGAATTCTGCAAGCAGAAGGCAGAGTTAGAGCAACAAAGGCCTGGAACCGTTTCCTGGGGCTGCAGATCCCAGGGCAGGCCCGTGGCTTCCCTCCCTCAGTGCTTCCCAGAGGCAGAGGTGGCTCCTCATCCCTCGAGCAGGGCTCCAGTTTCAGCTTTGGGACCTGTCACTGTCCCCAGATGGTCACCAGGGTCAGTCCCCTTCCCCAGCCCTTCCACAGGACACTCTGCAGGGACAAGAGGAAATGGCATCAAGCTGTGCCAAGAGGTGTTCAGGTTGGACATTAGGAGAAATATCTTTGTGGAAAGGGTGCTCAGGCACTGGCAGGGGCTGCTCAGGGAGGTGGTGCAGTCCCCATCCGTGGAGGTATCCAAGGACTGGATGTGGCACTCAATGCTTTGGTGTGGTGACAAGGTGGGGATCGGTCACAGATTGAACTTGATGACCTCGAAGGTCTTTTCCAATCTCAGTGACTCCATGATTCTGTGATTCAGTCTCTGTGGGATGTCAGCATCAACCCAATAAATTGAAACTGGCTGGCAGAGGTTACACTCAAAAATGTCCTTCTGTGCCTTTTGTCTTCTCGTTTCCCTGAACAGTCTCCAATTAATGGGAAGCTCTTAGCTCAGCTCACACCAATAAAATCAGGGACAGAATACAGTATCTCCTCAGCTCCACAGCAGCCTTTAATCTGCTGTTTTTGTGCCCAGAGCAATAAAACCTTGTATGTGAAGCAACAGGAACTTGGGCCTCGCTTGAACTGCGTCCCTGCATGTGACACATTCCAGAGTTTGAAACAGAAAGAGAAAACTCCAGGAACACATCAGCTATTTTGGGATAGGTTTGCTTTTTGCCCTGTTGGACAAATGCATCAGGGACTTGGCCTGGTTTTAGCAGCTATATCAGGACAAATAAAACTTATTTATCTCTGCTGCTCTGGAAACAGGGACAGCTGGACCCGGACATAGATTCACACGTCTGGTAGAGATGTACTGGGGTAGGAACAAAGTCTGCAATCCTGGGCAGATTCTCTCAGTATTTTCAGTCCTTCCTCAAGGAGCTGGCACCCAGAGGCTTCCAGAGAGGCTTTGTTTTAATCACAGCCCTGCTTTTCCCTCCTCACTTCAACCTCAACCCCTCCGATCGATCCTGCACAGCTGCCTGGGAAGTCTGGAAATCACTGCTGTAAACACAGACCAGGACTCCCAGGATGTACCAGTCCAGACTGCTCTGCCCAGACCCCTCCTGGGCACAGCCTCCCCTTCCCCAGGACCTGCAGGGCCTCACCTCAATGTCTGACACGGCGAGCTGGGAGCGGAGGCCGGGGATGCCGTGGATGGCATCGCCCGGCTGCTGGTGCTGTGGGAAGCTGTTCCCCCCATCCATGGTGGGGTGAGCTGAGGGCATCAGCCCGTGTCCTGCCTCATGGAGTCCTCAGGAGGAGGGTGGGACAGGCTGTGGAGTGAGTGCTGGGAGCGTCTTTATCTGTGCTCTTCACCCTGCACCATGTCCTGGGCTGGGAAAGAAAGGCACGTTTAGGTTTTGTGAAAGGGGAGGTGGGGAAAGAAAAAAAAAAAACAAACAAAAAAACACTTGTAAGCTTAAACATAGCTGAGAGATGAGCAAACAGCCACCAGCCTGTGAAATGTTGCTGCCTCTTCAGAAAAGAGAGGGTTTTATGGGAAACAGAGCTTTCCATTACTGCCACACCTGGAATTCACCCAGCTGGGAACTGGAACACAGCTCTCCTGCCTTTCACACCGCAGGAGCCCCGCAGGTCCCCACGCTGGATCACCTGGGTCACTGCACACAGAGCTGGGCTCAGCCTGAGGAATTTCCTTATCTAATGTACAAGAAGACTCTGCACTCATGTGTAAACTCATGGTAATTAACTCCCCTAAATCACTTGTTTTCCTGAAAATATGCTCTGGAGGTGGGACACTGCTGAGCCAGCAGTGAACCCTCATCTCCCACCCCGTGGCACACTGGGGTCTCCCCAGTTCCAAGGCAGATGTTTCTGTGCACCAAGACCTTTCCCACACCAGTCAAACCCAATAATACCTTGTTACTCTTTTGAAATTAATAGTATTAATGCTACAAATTACTGAATTTATCAGCTTCTGGCACTTTCCCTTTTGCCAGCAAAAGGGTATCCAATGCAGGAGCATTGTCCTGGCAGGATTAACTCCAGAGTAACACCCTGCCTCCAGTGCAGCTTCTCAGTGAAAACCTCCAAACTGATTAATTTTCTTCTAAATTCTCCATAATCCCACAGGAAACCAATTTCCAACTGGATTCAATGTATTAAAATAAAAATGAGGAGGTGGAAGCAACCTATACAACCGAAGAAGCAAAGAAAAGCTTGATGTCTTTACTTCCACTGAATCTTTCTTTGCCCCTTCCCACCTTCTCCCTGACCCTGCCTAGAAGCTGAGTAAATCAAAATGGCCAAAACCTTTGGATGGAGCAATCCAGCCACACACAACACCTACAGAGCACAGACCAAAGCTGTAATTTAAAAGAGCCACCTCTGATCACTAATTGCTACAAAGAGTATTTTTGAAAAGCCATTTCTGACTCCGGAGCCCTTTAAAAATAAGCGACCTTGTGGTGGACAAAATGACTGCGGCAATTGCAATGGAAAGTGAAATTAAAGTGACTCTTTCTGCCTTCCCGTGGCGCCACAGCTGTGCCAGCAATGCCCTCCGGGCAGGGCTTGTGTGGGGGCTGCAGTGCCCACAGGGACCAGCCTGGACAACGATCCCATGGTGGAGTCACAGGCAAAGCCCTCGTGTGTTAAGGACCTTCTGTGTGAATAGCAGAGTTCAACATTCACATCCCACCTTATGGAATGCTGTGTAGAACTCCCAAAGGGATTATTTGGATTTTGGGGTTTTTTTTGTAGGGAGAAAGTCTCTCTTTTCTATTTTGCAAAGATTCTCTTTGGCTGTACCCAAGCAGGGCTGAGGTTTGCTGATCTCAAGATCAACGTCATCAATTGCTCTGGTGTCTATAAAACCCTGTGCCTCTTCCTTATACCAGACTTCAGGGGTTTTGCTGCTTTTCTTTTTTTTTTTCTTTCCCCTACTTGCAACAGCTTTTGAGAGGAAATCAGCAGCAATGATTCCTGTAAGACACATAGCAAATATACAGCTTTACTTACACATCCAAAGGAACTTAGCAAGGGTAAAATCAATATCGGTATCCCTCCATGCCTGCTCTGCATTAGCTCTGCAGAGCAGAGGCTGCTCCTAAAGCAGCACGAGTTCCCTAGGAAAACTGCACACAGATCACACCCCACTGGAAAAACGAAGGAAAACTGCTTAGCAAGAAAGCTGGAACGACCTGGGCCTCGGTTTGTGGGGGGCTGTAGTGCAAGTTCAAAATACATCTAAGCATTGAGAACAGGGGGAGAAAAAGAGGCACCAAGAGACCACTCTACAGCTGGCACCATTCCAGCCTCACCTCAATCCTGCAGGATGCTGAGGGAACTCCTTACCCCAAGAGAATGGCACTTGCTGGACACCCCAAAATCCAGCCTGCACCTGCCAAATCTTTGTGCTGCACAACAAGCTCCTGATGATGAACGTGGAAGCTGGCCCAGCTTTCACTCTGAGCTCACACTCCAGTGCCAGGGGCTGCTATCCAGCTTACACTCCCAAATTTCAAGAAAAAACTAAATTAAAAATTCACTAAACCCAGAGTCAGAGACTTGCATGAGCCTCAGGACAGCAGGACAACACCCGCACGAGAACAGAGAAGTGGGAACAGCCCTTGGTTTGTGCCTATCTCACCATCCTCCCGGCAGCCACATCACAGAAAACCGTAAAAATCAGCAAGTTCCAAAGTGCTTCCACTCCCACATCCCATCCTGCTGCTGTGACAGTAAACACTGATAACACAGAGGCCCACACGTGTGAGAGAACCCGCTACAGCAAACTTTTAAAGTGTTTTTCCACCACTTCTCTTACCAAACACACTCCGACCAAGCGGCAGCTTCCGCTGTTAGGGCAAATCCCCGGAGATGAGGCTCCCGGTCCCAGCACTCGTGTTGGGAGAGGGTTGGGAGAGGAAAGCCCAGCACACAGAGCCCGTTCCCAACTTCAACCACTTCAGCCACGTTTTCTTGGAGCAGCACTATGGAAGAGCAGCGATCCCCCAGATCCACAGGGAGTGCACGACACTAAAAATCCCACCGGACGTTTTCCTTCCTGGCCAGGCAGCCCAGGTTTGAAAGTGAAAGCAGCTCCCTGCACAGGATGACGAAGCCCCTGAGTGATTTCATCCTATCATTGAGCTCCAGAATGGTCTCAATATTCCGAACAGTTTGCTTAAAGGTTTGATGTCAGCACAGGGGCTATGGGGAAGCTCCAGTCTGGAATTCCTCTGGAATTCATCATGTCTAGAGGTTATAGAGCACAACTTTTGGCTTTTAACAGCTTGAGCTTTTTAGGCATTTCTCAGACCAGCGCTCCAGCAGGAAAATTCCAGTTGGGAACACAGAAAGAACTGCTGTGCTGTAAGCAGGATGGACAGAGCCGGGGGTGAGGGCTCGGATCACTGATAACTGAGACCAGCAGAGGTGAAAACAACCCAGTAAACGCAGCCAGCACTTCCTCCTGTTGTGTTCCAACCTTTGCTGGTGTATTTTAAATTGCCTCCGTTAAAGGAAGACAGCCAGAAACCCACAGACATGCCTGGAGCAGCCGGAGCTAAACCTGCCGATCATGAATTACCACGCACTGGGAACAACAAAAAACACCTTGGGAATGTGATCCTGCTCTTCCTCCTGCTCAGGGATCAGTTCCCCTCACCCTGCCCACCCCCACGGAGCAGAGGTGGAGCCCCAAAGTGTCCCCACCCTGCTGCACCCACTCATGAGCCTCCAGCATGGGCACCCACCAGAGCGGCAGCTGGAGGGAATTCTGCGGGATACAGTCAGGATGTAACAGCCCCAAAGAAATGGGAACTCAACACTACGGAACTCTGAACAGCCAGTTTTACATCTCAAGCAGCCAGGCACCTTCAAGTTCCTCTTTCATGCTTCTCCTTGACGTATTTTTGGGAAGTTTAGACCAAACAAGCAGATGGGAATAGGACTCAGTCCTGTCACCAACGCAAAGGAGAACATCAGAGAGGAAAACGAGTATTTATGGGTGATGAAAACTGAATCACTTCAGGGCATCCTAAGTCAGCACTTTGAACCACCCTGATATCTTCAATGCTTTGAGCACGGAAAAGGCTCCTGGGACACAAGGATTGCAGCCCTGGAGCTGAGCATGGCACTGCCAGGCTCCAGGGCAAATCCCGGCATCACCTGGGCACCACAAGTCAGTGCAGAGCTGCAGCGTGGAATAATCCATGCAAGCAATTAACTGTGGGAATTAGTCTGTAAGGAAAGGGAAGAAAAATCTGGATAATTCCAGAGATTTTGCAAGAGCTGTGACAAAAGAACAAACCTGTCCTCCAAGGATAGCAGAGTTTCTACAGGGAAGAGCTTGATCCTTGCTGCTCCTCATCTGATACTCAGACCATAAAGGGGAAAACCAATCAAATAGAGTTTTTTGGAAGGTAGAGTCCCCTTTAGGAGAAAATTTTAACTGCTCCCCTCAGGAAGATTCCACCTGTCCCTGCTTTTCCACCTGGGAAAAACACACAGAACTATTTCTGGACAGGGCAAAAACGCCTCCCCAGACACCACGCACACTCTGCCAAGGAACTCGGCATGTTCCTGTGTAAATCCACCCTGCATCACCCTCACACCTCCAGCACCAACATTCCCAAACCACAAACACATTCCTGCAACGTACAGCTACGGCTGATGCTGTGGCTCAGACACCAGGTACATGGAGTATTCCCAAAAACAGGGGTTTGGACGCTCCCCAGCATGGGGCAGAGCACTGGGAGCACTGGTGCTGCTCTCCTTCCACAAAGAACTTGGCTAAGCAAGGTCAGAAGCCAAGAAAATGCAGGTCCCAAATTCTTTACACTTTTTTCTCCAGTTTCTCTCCCAAGAGATACTTGGGAGAAACCCTCTGGACCTGAGCAGGTCCCAACGTTCTGTTTCACATGCAGCCACTCACGGTGGAGAAACCACTTCAGGACATCAAAGCCAATTTCCCTACGGATCAGGGCAGCCTTAAGGCAGATTCAACACGCACCTGCTCCGTGAGAGGCGTGTGTTCACCCTGATTACACCCACACTAGTGCAGACCTCGATAGTGTAACCATAAAAGACTTAAGAGTTTTAAGTTTTAAACAGAAAAAATGTCTCAGGAGAGTAGAAATCTCCCAGTTAGGCATGGAAGGCTTTCCTGAGGGATCCCTGAGGGATCCGGACTCTCAAGGTGACAAGTCACAGCGCGGTTTGCTCCTGTGCAGAGACCTCCCAGCAACATTTGAATGAGACAGGTACAGGCTTATTTTAGGAAAATGAGGGTGTAAACATCCAACAAACAGACCCCCATCAAGTAAAGAGCTTTTGGCAGAGATAACAGAGCTCAGATTCCAAAGGCTCCAGCTGGCAGCTTATGGAGCTCTGCAAAACCTGGCAGTGCTGCACGGGACACACAGCACTCCCAACCCCACAGCAACAGTATTAGCACATCATTTTCCACTTAAACATTCCCACCACCAGCTGCTCCTGGTTCAGCCATTCCCACATGGCTCAGGACGAGCTCAATGCTCCAATGACATGAGGATGATGTGCAGCTTGAACAGCCCCAAAGAGGCACAGCTGGCCACAGCCAACACCCTCCTGCACTCCAGACTCACCCCAGGGCCAGTGCACGGACCAGAAAACCCTCAAGGGGTTTGGATCCCAGCTTTGGGATGCCAGTGCCGAACCTGCAGGACCTGCCCTGCCCAGCCCATCTCAATTTCACCATAAATCGAGCCAGCTAATAGGGAGCCACAGTCCTTACACTGGAATTTACAGTTACTCTGAGGAGTTTTAGACCTGGCATTAGTATTTAATAAGGTGAAGCCTCTGGTACCAGCCCAGTTAACAGTCTGACAGCACTGGTTCCATATTGCAGAGGCTCTGAATTGGGCCAGTACGTGCTGCACCACAGTAGGAGCTCCGTGCACGATGGCTCCACACCAACAGAGAGGAAATTTGGATCAGATATTAGGAAATTCTTCCCTGTAAGGATGGTGAGGCTCTGGCACAGGTTGCCCAGAGCAGCTGTGGCTGCCCTTGTATCCCTGGAAGTGTCCGAGGCCAGGCTGGACAGGGCTTGGACCACCCTGGGATAGTGGAAGGTGTTCCTGCCCAGGGCGGGGGGTGGAACTTAATGAGCTTTGAGATCCTTCCAGCCCAAACCATTCCACGATTCTGTGCAGTTTTCACAGCGCTCAGTGGAAAAGCAGCTGAAGAAAGAGTCAGAAACGCGAGGGTTCGCTGGCTGTGGCCACCCTGGCTGAGCCGGGGCAATTCCCTGTCCGGACCCGGCTCGGACAGGGTCGGAGGGGTCTGGGCTTTGCTGGGATCGCGGTTACAGAGGCTCCGCAGCATCTCCGGCTCTCTCCGAGGCAGTCGCGCTGCCAGCGCCGGCTCAGCCCCGAGCGCTCCCCGCCGAGCGCCCCCGGCCCCGCTCCACAAGCGGGACGGACACGCGTGGGGAGAACAGGCGGCTGAAGCGCAGGGGGAGCGGGGTGGCGCTGCCGTCTCCACAGACTGCTCCGGGCCTGGCCCGAGCCCCGCAGCCCCTGGACTCCCCGCGGCACCGACAGACCGCTCCCGGGACAGGCCCGCCCGGGGGCCGCGTCCCTACCGAACCCCTCATCCCGGCCCGGGCGGGTCCGCGGCCCCCACCCACGGAGGGATCGGGCAGGAGACGAGGAAGCCCCGAGCCCCGGGGGGAGCGAGCGGGCGGCTCTTACCTGTGTCCGGGGGTCGCGGGGGGTGCCGGGGGTCCCGGGGGCTCCGGGGCTCAGGCTCCCGCCCGGCCGCCACCGCCTGGCGCCGCTTCCGGGTCCGCCATGGTGTGAGCGGCACAGAACTTCCGGGGAAAGGGGCGGTGGCAACCGAGAGAGAAGCGCGAGTGGGCAGCGGGGGAACGGGAGAACCGGGCCTGCGGGAGCAGGAGAATCGGGTGTGGGCGGCAGGGGAACGGGAGAACCGGGCCCGGGGCAACCGGGCCAGGCTGCAGAGCGGGAAGCAGGAGAGGCAGGGCTCGGAATCCGGTCTCACTGGGAGGTGTCAGGGCGGCCCCCGGTGATGAACGGGCAGCGAGGCCCGCAGCTCCGGAGACCGGCAAATGCCTGGGGCTGAAGGAACCGCCGAGGCAGAGGGAGCCTCTGGGGCCGCCTCTCCCACGCCTGGCCCCTCACCCCCGTTCAGGAGCGGGCGCTGCCCCTGGAGCGGCAGGTCCTGGCCCACAGCCGGCCCGGGGGCTCCTGTGGGTGCTGGACGGCCCGGTCCTGCAGACTTTGTACCGGTGTAGATCCGGAGTGCTTGCCTTGGATCCCACATCCATCCATCCATCCATCCATCCATCCATCCATCCATCCATCTGGGATGGAAATGGGAGACAAACCAAAGTCCTGGAGCAGTCTTGGCTGCGCACACTGTCAGCCCAAGCGGAGTGTGTTCAGTCCTTTCCCTCCTCAAAGGAAAGGAAATTCCTCACTTTTCCTCCCTGCAGGACCAGGGCAGCAGTTCAACCCACAGAGGACACAGGAGAGCTGGAAACACTCAAACCCTGAGTAGCTTCAAAGGATTCTGCCCACTGCCATGCCTCGAGTCCTGCTATAGGAATTAAATGAGAATGATTTGCTCTGGCCATCCTGAGCTCCTCACTCATTTCCCCCACACCAGGCTTTTTAGTATTTTTAATTTCCCGTTGCTTGCATTGGATTCATGCCACCTTTGCAGCCCCAGGGTAGGAACAAAATCCCAAGGGGTCTCACAAAAGCCTCCCAGATGGGTCTGTTTTTACACCCAGCAGCAGCCAGAGGGAACCGATTTATCCTCAAGAAGGGAAGCGCTGGCAGATGGGAGTCACATTAACACCGGGTCCTTGGGAATACTGGGTGTGTGCCAGAGGCTAAGGGGGAACCAGGAAGGTCTGTGACAGTCCCTTTCTCTCCTTGCTAATCCCTCTGCTGCCAGGCTTCATTCATTTGCACAAAGTAATTAATCAAGGCAAACATGTCACACTTTCCAACATATCCTTCTTACAGGGAGACTTCTTTTAAATCCCTCCAGCTCTTTATTTGGTGTTACACAAATACAAATAAATAAATACAGTGTGAGAACATGCAGGGATCCATCCAGCACCAAATCAGCCTCCTCCCAGAACCACCAAACCCAGATTTCCCATCCCCTCCTCTCATCCCAGCCTGGATCCCAATTCAAAAACCCCAAGACAAGGATGAAGCAGAAGTGCTGCTGGGCTGGGAGCACTGGGGCTGTCCTGTGCCTGCACTGGTGGGAGGTGTGGGGACATGGCTGAGTTGTGTCCTGGTCTGTTTGCCCCTGTACAGAAGCAGAGTCCCTGGAAAACCGCCTGCTTCTCCTGGAACAGCCCTTCCCAGGCAGCTGGTTACTCTGAGACATGCAGTCTCAGGGAATAGGGACAAAGATGGGAGTTTGGGGCCCTGATCCCATGGGCTCTGCTGCAGAGCAGCACCACTGCAGGGTGTGCTCAGCTGCTGTCACCCGCTGCCAGTTCCTGTTTTTTCCCAGAGCCTGGAAATCCCCCAACTTTCCGTGAGGTGAGGGCTGTGGAGCTGTGCCGCCAGCTGGCCCTGTGCCCCCAGAGCTGCTGGAAGAGACAGCCAGGGGACAGACCCTGCCCCATGCTGGGCTGGGGCCATGCAGGGGGCAGGGATGGGGCCATGCTGGGGTGCCAGGGTCCCACAAAACCATCTCATATCTGGATAGACCCTTCTGTGCCCCCTCAGCCAGGCTGTGGGGCTGTGTAGGATGAGGGGACAGTGAGGGCTGTGGTCCTGAAGTGTCCCATGTACCACGAGCTTGGCAGGGCTCAGCTGGTTCCCCCGGCTTGTGACCTCCCCACTGAAGGGGACGATGCTGTGCAAATATTTGGGAAAGGCCAAGAGCCTCTGGCTTTGCCTGATGCATCCACAGCCACATTGAGGGACAGGGCTGAGGTGCTTGGGGGTTCCTGGGGACACCCCATATGAGTCCTTAGCTTGCCCCACAGCAGTGGCCCGTTCCTAGAGAGCCAAGCAGGATTTTACCTTTCTCCTGGTGGGTGAGGGAGCAGGCAGGCAGTGAGATGGGCAGGGAACAGAGTGTGGAGTGCCAGGAGCTCCTCCAGCTGATCCTGCCCTCCCACTGCTGGGAACACCTCGGGAAGGGGATGCGCAGCACTTACCAGAATTTCGGGGATGGGTTCCAGCACTTTGGACTCACTTCCAAGACTGGAGTAAATCACTTGGGGCCACGCGCTGTTGTGACAGGAGCCATTGAGGGAGGAGGGAAAGGCTGTGCTAGCAGGAATGGAGGGCTTGGCAGTTCCCCTCCTTTGCATCCCCGCTTTGGAGCCCTTGGAACCTCCTCCCGACCCTTCACAGGCTCAAATTCTTTGATCAAACCAGCCCTGGAACGTTGCTATGCTCTGACCCTTTGGGGACCCTGGCGGCCCTGACCTTGCTCAGGCCCCCAAAAACGGGCTCAGGGCTCTCCCACCTGTGCTTTGAGATCCATGCAGTGCCAGCAGCTCTCATGGAAAAGAACTTATGGATCTGTCCTGCCCTACCTCAAAATAACTCAGCTCCACGTTGCAATCCCAGCCGAGCCTGGCTCCATCCCCTTTGCCAAAGGGTTTGACCCTCGGGCACAGCGGGGCTGGAGGCGGCTGTGGGGCATCGTGGTTCCTCTGAGCTGGCACTGCACAAACCCAGTGTACTGGCACCGGTTCCCGGTGTTCCCGGTTGGAGCAAGCACGGAAGAGGCTGAAGCTGTCGTACCGCAACTCCCAGGGCTGGGCAGGGGGCTCCGGTGTCCGGTGAAACCGGGAGGAGACCCCTGTAACGCCAGTGCAGGGAGAACAGTGCAAGCCAACCCTCACGAGCCAGCAGAGGATCCCCGCAAGAGAAGCGTCTCTGCCGGGGCTGGGGCCGGGGCCGTGAGAGGGAGGCAGCGCCGAGAGGAGCCCGGGCTGCGCCGGGGTCTGGCCGGGGCGCTGGAACCGGGCGCAGTTATTTTGGGGATGCCCCCCTTATTTTGAGAAAGCCCTCGTTATTTTGGGGATGCTCTCGCAGCTGCTTGGCTGGACTTACACGGCCACGCTGGGCAGGAGGGGATAAGGCACGGCCGGAGCCGAGCGGAACTGCGCGGGCTGAGGGACACCGCGGGGGGAGTGAGTTCACCCCAAACCCGAAGCGGCTGCAGCGCGGCGGGCGGACCGCGAGGCCGGCGGGGCAGGGCCGGCTCCGGGCCGGGCCCCGTCTCCATGACACCCGCGTGCCCTTTGCCCTTCCGCCCTTCACTTCCTACCGCCCCGCCTCTGAGCGCTGACGGACAGCTCTTGCAGCCTATCGCAGCGCGCTGCCGCCGCCGGCCCCGCCCTCACCCGGGACGGATATCTCCTATGACCAATCACATCTTAATTTCACCACAAACCCCGCCTCTAGACGTGACGGACAGCTCCTTTACTCTATCATATAGCCCCATCGCCGGCCCGAGTGGGTGGGCGGGTTACTCGTAACGAGCCAACCGGAACCCGACGTGGTGCGGTCGCAGCCAATCAGCGCTCGAGCGCGCGGGGACGGGGCCGGCAGCGCGGCCAATGGGGGCGCGCGCCGGGGCGGCGCGAGGCGCGGAGCGGGAGGGGGCACGGAACGGCGGGGGCGGGCGGGGACAAGATGGCGGCAGCGGCGTCGGCGGCGCGCGCGCGGCGGGGCGGGCGGTAACGGGGCGGCGCGACCGGGACGAGGAACGGGACCGGGGCCGGGAGAGCGCCGGGGGGCAGCGGCTGAGGGGCGGCCCCTGAACTTGGGGGGACGCGGGAGGCGGCAGCTCGTGCGGGGCGGAGCGCGGCGCCGGGGCCCGGCCCGGCTCCCCCGCCCGGCGGCGGGGAGGGGGGACTCGACCGCCCGCCCCCCTCCCCCAGTTCACCGTTCGGGCCGGCGGGAGCGGCCGGAGCTGCCTGCGGGGAAGGACCCGGCTCGGGCCGGTGAGGCCCCAGAGGTCACCGAACCCCCCCGGAGTTCGTCCCTTCCCGGCTCCGGCGCTGATTTTGTCCCACTAAAAGTGTCCTGTCTCCTGTCACCCCTCCCTGCCCCACCGCTGTACCCTCCCAGCCCCGGTGACACCTGTGGGAGGTACGGGAGGGACCGTCCGGGCTGGGTGGACATACCTGACCCCCTCCGTGAGGGGCCAGGCACCGGGTAAAAGGTTCTCCCGACCCCCCGGGAGGACCTCGGTGTTGGGGCACCGGGCAGAGGGTCCCCCTGACCCCCACCCCGGGGTCGGCGGGGCCGGGGTGGGTTGTGTTGTCCTGCACCACTGACACCCGGAGCAGAGGTGGTGACACATCATGTGCCAGGCGGAATCCCGGTGGATGAAGGATGCCCCCGGGAGCTCTCGGTAGGCACCAAAGGCCTCAAACTTTTGTAGGCGAAAGCGAAGACGCGAGAATTGTTTCGGAAAACTCCTTCAAGGAAACTTGGTTCCAGCTCCCCAACGGCTGAACCCCTCCTCCGGCCCGTGCTCCCGGGAGGGCGGCGGGAGCACACCTTCCCACCCCGGCTGGGAATCATGAGCTCCTAGGGATGGAAAGTCACGAGAGGGACTGGGAGCTGCTCTGGTTCCACGGGGTGGCCTGACGGCCCGGAGATGACCTAACTCTGCAGGATCAAACTGGGCCCAGTCAAGGCCAATTGACTGGGAAGAGCCCCCGGCAGCGGGACCGGGTCGGAAGCAAAGCGTGTCCCAAACTGAGTGTGTCCCGTCACAGATTTATGTTCTTTTTCAAAGACATTCTGGAGCCAGACCGGGATCTTTTGGCATCCAACTGACCTGGAAGCAGCTCTTAGGTTTGGTTTTCTTTTTTTTTTTTTTTTTTCCTTCTATTTTTTGGTTGTTTTTTTTTTTTTATTATTATTATTATTCATGTTTGTACAATCTTCTGGATATTTTTTTTCCAAGAAGGAGTAAAAGGGAGTGTTGGAAACTAACAAACAGGATTAAAGCCCTGAGCGCTTAAGGAAAAAAACAGGTTAAGGAACTTAATCCAGGATGGATCTGCAGGAGCCCCAGCAGCTGGGAATGTTTGCGGAGAGCGAGCTGATGTCGGTGGGGATGGACACGTTCATCCACCGCATCGACTCCACCGAGGTCATTTACCAGCCCCGCCGCAAACGGGCCAAGCTCATCGGCAAGTACCTCATGGGAGACCTGCTGGGAGAGGGCTCCTACGGCAAAGTCAAGGAGATGCTGGACTCAGAGACCCTGTGCAGGAGAGCTGTGAAGATCCTGAAGAAGAAGAAGCTGCGCCGGATCCCCAACGGGGAGGCCAACGTGAAAAAGTGAGTAAAGAGTTCTGGGAGCTGAGGGGGTGAACTTGGTCCTTGTTTACCAGCTGTGTTGTTTTAGCTGACAGCGTGGCTCTGCTATGGAAGTGCTTCCTAATCCACAGGTATTTAGGAATCTCTTCCCTCTGAACAGCAGCCAGCGCTCTGGGTGAGGCTGGGCACAGGGAAGGGATGGGTTCCCAAGGACTGGGACAGTCTGGAATACACCACTTTGTATTCCACCAAATGACTTTGGTGTCATTTAATGGATAAAATAGTGTTTCTTAAAGCAATTCCTCTGTAAGGTCTCACCTTGCCCTCACCTGGCCAGGAAAGGTGAGGGGACACAAACATATGTGGTGTCCTCACAGTCGGGGTTATTCCTGTACCTGCCCAGGTGTGTCCCAAAGGCCCTGGAGCTCTCTGTGGTGGCAATTCCTTCTCCCACCCATGTGGAAGGTGCCTGGAACAGGATCCAATATATGGGGCACCCAATGGGCACAGGAAGTTTTGCTTTTTCTTCCTTGGCTTCATTTCTAAGGTGCTTGGGAGGTAACTGAAGGCTGATTTCTGAGGCTGTAAAATGGGGCCAAGGGTTGTTGGCTGTCTGTGCCTCTGACACACCTGGTTACTCAGGGCACAGAGCCCTCATGGAAGTGAACCCCAGGAGAAGCCGGATGCAGGGCTGGATCCATGGGGCTGCTGTGGGAACTTTCCCTTCCCTGGACCTCGCAGCGGCTGCGTCCCAGCCCTGCCAGGAGCTGCTTATCAGCCGTGCAGGAGCCTCTGCAGCCTAAACAACTCATGAGGGTTTATCTAGGCTGGGAGGGAGAACTCTGAGAGGTCGAGGAGACTCCTGTGGTGTTGTGCTGGGAGTGAGCCCTGACCTGCAGAGTCCTGTTTCTGTCCCTCAGTTTGATTTCCCAGTTTAGCTGTGAGATATTTCACATCCTGTCCCAGCACTGCTGTCAGGGAGCTCTCTCACTTTGCCTTCCAACCCTTCTTGACAGCCTTGGCTGTGGAACAGTCACATCCCAAGGCTGGGACCTCCCTGTCTCTCCCTGCTTGGCTCAGGTTCAGGATGGAGCAAACTTGGTTAATGTGTAATAAAATGTTTCTTGTTTTTCTGGTGGAGGCTGAGTGCCCCGTCCCTGGGTCTCACCACGGGCACATCCAGAGCTGCCACTGGGGAATGTTGAGATAGTTTTCTCCTTAAGGAAGCTTTTAATGTAAATTAAGTAAAAAGAGCTTGCCCACATCAGGAGAGTTCCTTGCTCTCAGAGCCATGGGAATGCTCCTGTGTCCTGAGGTGAACTCCGTGGAAGTTTTATTCATGCCCAGAGTGGGGCTGTGAGTGTCAGATGGGTCATTAAGGGAGTTACTAAAAGGGGTTTTCTGTGACATTTCCTGGCTTAGCCCTACCTGCTCCAAAACACCGAGGCAGATTTTAGGTCTTGCCTTTTACCCAGGGGTTTACTTTAGTTCAAGTTGCTATTTCTGCTCCCTCATCCTTTTCCCTCTGCCCACCTATCCATGTGCTTTGTCTGCTGCTTCAGTGGGGAATTTTAAGGCAAACTGTTGTATTTTGTAGTCCCCTGGCACTCTGAGCTTATCAGAACCCTTCAGCACTGCTTGTGACAGGGAGTGAAAGCTGTGCCTGCTCTGAGTGTGGAGATATGTGCCCAAACCCAGGTGCCTGAGTGGTCAGTGTGGGAGGAACAAAGTGCTGTGGGGTCTCCAGATAGTGCTGGACAGGACACTGACACAGTGTTTTAATGTCAACGTGGCCAGACTGCACTGGAATCTCACTCTGGGCAGCTGTGCTGGAGCAGTTTTGAGGAGTTTATGCCCAAAAACTGCTCCTGTGCACAGAACAGCAGGAAATCAGTTTGGGGGCTGGATCACAACATCAGGATCTACTTTCTCTCTTGGAATCTGATCACTGAATTGGTTTCCAATGTTTCCTACCACACAGGGAAAAGCTGCACGTTGGCTTGGCTTGTTGGGCAGAGGTGACTGAGTTACTGTGGTGAGCTCCTGCCTCTGCCCCCTCACAGGGCACCCAGCTGTGCTGATAGCATGTCATCCAAGGAATTCCCTGGAAAACAGTTCCTAGACTGTGGCCCTTGGGTAATTCCACGAGCAGTAACACACAGGGAGTAATGAGAGTGGAGCAGTAATGTGCTGTGGAGGATCACAGAGGTCTGAGCTGGGCCTTGGGCACCTGGGGATGTTGGGCTGGAAATGAGATGTTAATGCCATCCTTGCTGATAACCCAGGCCACAGCCTCATCCCTGCTCCAGCCCTGTCTCCTGGTGTTCTGGAAACCCAGAAATTGCAGCTAAAATGCATTTGGGACTTATATAAAATCGAATTATTTTTCTCTACCCCAAAATACTTCACTTCTGCCCTAGGAAAATGAGCCCTGAAGGGCTCTCCGAGTCTTGGAGAGGATGTTGAGGGCTTAAACTTGTAAGACACAGTTTCCTTAAATCCATTGGGAGAATCTTCATTTCTCTTTAGAGCAGGTGGAGGTGGCTCAGTCAGGCAGACACTGCTGGATCTCATCCCTGCAAAAAAAAAAGGAGTTTAGTGGGATTGCCAAAAAGAGGCAGGAAAACCTGGCAGCCTGTGGCTGCAGCAGCAGAGGTTTAATAACTCCGTGTGCTAATAGCCTGACACGTTAATTAAGTGTTTGGGGCTCTGTGGGATCCCAAGTGCCCTGTGCTGTACTTACCACCTCAGCAATTGCTCAGGTTGGAATTTCTGCTCCTTGGAATTCCTTGGAGGGTTAACCTGGGTTATGGGGCTGTGCTGTGACAGTTTGTTCCTGAGGTCTGCAAGTCCCGAGCTGGAACCTCCAAACAGGGCCAGCTCTTCTGGGGAAGGACTCGCTGGAAGCCCTGGAGGTGTGGGCTCAGCTGGGAATGGGCTGATCCCATCTCCCCAGACACGTGTTCCCCATGGAGCTGCGTGGCTCAAGGATTTCCTCTGCTGAGGTGGATGTTTGCTTGAGTTGAGAGGTGAAATGCTGGGACCTGTACTCCGTGGAAGAGCACAGGTTTTGGTGGATATAGAGCTTGGAATGCCAGACACCCCTGCAGGAGCAGGATGTGGATGGACCCTTGGGACTAGGAAAGAGAAAAAGCGACACAGAAATCTTCCTGGCACTTCCAGCCCTTGGGTTCACACAGTCCTGGAGCAGGTGCTGCACTTCCTGAGCTTTCAGGATGTTTTGGGAAGAACCTTGTGAACCAAAGGAAGGGAATGAATCTTTTGGCTGCGTTGCTGGGTGTTGTTTAGGCAGGAATGGCTGGGAACAAGCTGTAGGAAGAATGCTGGATCTCACAGTGGAGATGTCCAGGAAGGAGAGTCTGCTTTCCAGGCTGCCCTTGGCATCTTCCAAAATGGTGAGGCACATGGAACAAGGGGGCAGCTTTGCTATTTACAGTTCTGAGCAACAACACCCCCGTTATTTGCCAGGGCAGGTACCTTGCAGGGGATAAGTCTTAATCCACCAGGATGAGCTTAATGGATCTGACAGAGCTCGTGTTAGAAAGTCTTTTCCCTCCTTGTCTCCCTCCCAGGGGGTTGTACTTGGAAGCTGGCCTTGCCCTCTGGCAGTCTGTCTGGTCACACACTTGCAGTGGGCTGTGGTGGGGTTTTGTTGTTAGTTTTGGAAGAAAAAAAATCGAATTTAGGCCTGTTCTGAGGAGGTGAGACCGATGTTCCCTACTCGAGGGGTTTGCAAAGCAAACGGGATCCGAGGTGACTGAGCTGGCTGTCCCTGCTCCTCAGGCATTCCAGAGCCAAAGAGGGGCTAAAAATAGAAGTAATCTTTCCTCTGGGAAAAGGGCGGCTTGGCCTCTGCCCCAGGGGTGGGGGCACTGCCCTGGCATTTCGGATTGGTTCGCAAAGTCGTGCTGGGGGGGGGGAAATCATTGCAGAAATATGAGATATTTATTAGTCCGTTGAAGGTGAGAGGAATTAGTATTTGTACTTCCGAGCTGTATTACAGGGAATAAGCTGTTGGGATCAGGATTTTAAATGTGTTCCCAATATTTGGGCTTTAAAGCAGTTGTGTTTGGGTGTGTTTGCTCCCCTCTGGCAGCTCTGGTTGGAGCCCTTGGCCCTCTCCCTCCATGCTGCAGGATCTCCTCAGCCCCACACTGACACTGGCTGCAGTTCCTGGGCTAATTTAATCCACTTCAGCCCTTTGGTCGTTCCTATAATTAAACTTGTCTGCCTTGTCCACAGAACACTTGGAAGCTTTACTGTGGTATCCTGGATCTCTGCTCAGCTTTTGGTGGCTTTTTCTAAATCCAGAGTTGAGAAAGGAGTGTCTGGCCTTAACTTTGGTAGTGAAATAATTCATACTGCTCAGGAATCCTTAAAAGATCAGTAAGGATTCTCCTTGCACTCCTGCATCAGAGAAGCCTTTCCAAGGAGCAGCTCCTGGTTGTTGCTCAGCCTTTGTGCTGGCCCCAGCTCATTACTGGAGCTGCTAATTGTGCCCGTGAGGGGCTCTGATCTGGCTTTGGGCAGGGGCTCTCACTTCCAAAGCTGTGCTCGGAATTCCTTGTAATGCTGCTTCCCAGAGGCTGAGCTGATGAAGTGTGACCACACTGCTTAAAGCACTGGCCAAATCGCTCTGGAAGGGAGCTGGGAATGAGAATTTGGGAGCTCAGCACAGCCCAGGATGGAGCAGCAGCAGAACAAAGAGAAAAGCAGGACCTGCACTGCCAGGCACCAACGGAACCACCCTGACCTGACTGTCCTGCTCTGCCTGTTTCTCCACAGCTGGCATCCAGTGGGATTTTGCAGGATGAGTTTAATGCAAAAGAGACAAAACTGTGGTTTGGGGCAGGTACAAAATCCCTGGAGACCAAGATCAGAACTGCTGACAGAAAGTGATATTTGAAGGGCTGCTCCCCAAGCCAAGGGAAGGTGGCTCCTCACCGTTTTACCTTATTTATTCCCCACAAACTCAGGATTCAGTTCAGGTCTCTGAGCCATTCAGTCAAGCTTGGATGAAATTTTGGAAGAAATGGAGTTGGGAATAATCTTTTTAAACATAACTTTTTCCTTGTCTCTGCCTGCAGGGAAATCCAGCTCCTGCGGCGATTACGGCACAAAAACGTCATCCAGCTGGTGGATGTGTTGTACAACGAGGAGAAACAGAAAATATATCCTTTTGCACAGGGCTGTTGATCAGGTTTGAACTCCCACTGTTCCCTGCTGTAGTTCTGCTTTTGGGAAGGCCCTTTTGGATGTTTCTTAAGCTTAAATTTTTGCAGCTAAATTGCTTTCGCTGCTGTTAACAATCCTGCCCACCTGGCAGACTTTCCACACAAACAAACACAAATTCACACAGACACCAATAAAGGCAATTTTATCCTCACTTTGCTGGATTTTATGTGACTCTGCCACACTGAGAGCACTTTGCCTGGAACCAGCATGGAAGTTCCTGCAGCTGATCCCTTGTAGCATGTGTTATAAATGCTACAAGGGATGCTTTTATTTTTGACAGTATTTTCTAACTACTGTCTTCTTATTACAGTACTCCAGAAAAGGAGTAATTTAATTGTATGCGTTAATTAGATCAAACACTCTGCCACCAGATCATTAGGATAAAGCAGTGTGACAACTTCTGCTTGTGCTGTGGCCTCGACAGAGCAGGGGGACTGCAAGTCAATTACTGATAGAGAGATCCTGTTTAATTAGGTAGAAGGGAGGAGGCAGCGTGGGGAAAAGGAGCCCGAGAGAGACATCGTGTGTTGGTACCAGGTGATGACAACCCAAAACCATCTCTGGGAAATGGGATCTCTCCGAGGATGCTCCTTGCTGGACTTTCTGAGCAGTGCTGGTCCAGAGTTGGTTTTCAGTGCTTTATCCTTGCAAGGACGGGTTGACTTTGTTATTTTTATCTTTATCTGCTCCTACACTCTCACCAAGTTTGTTTCTCCCTGTGCTGATTCTGGCAATAACTGGGGAAATTTGTTTTCACTGGAACTGGGAGCAAGAATTCATCCATGATTTTGTTCAAACCCTTCCCCAGCTCCTGGCTGGCACTGCCTGTGCTGCATTTCCTGGGCTGTGACAGAGCAGACCTTGAGCAGCCACATGGGGAACAGGTTTGGGAAGGATCCAGCAGAAAAGGGACTTTTTCCCTGAGGCTGCCCTGGAGGCAGAGCCCTTAGTCATGCACAGGGCTGTGTTGGCTCCTTGCAGCAAGCAGAGCTGGGGTTTAGGGGGAGATGTCAACTTTCTCCTTGGTGATTTAAAAAAAAAAAAAAAAATCCTCATTTCCAGACCAAGTATTGTGGGATTGGAAATTTGGGCTGTGGAAGGAAGGGTTCTGTTCCCACCTGAGTGTTCTGTTGCTGGTGGAAGTGCACTGCAGGCTTGAGCTGTTTGTCATAGGGTTACAGAATGGCTTGGGCTAAAAGGACATTAAAGCACAGCCCATTCCACCCCCTGCCCTGGGCAGGATCACCTTCCACTATCCCAGGCTGCTCCAAGCCCTGTCCAGCCTGGCTTTGGCCACTTCCAGGGATCCAGGGGCAGTCACAGCTGCTCTGGGCACCCTGTGCTAGGGCCTCACCATCCTCACAGGGAAGATTTTTTTCCTAATCTCCCATCTAACCCCCCTCTGTGTCAGCGTGAAGCAATTTCTCCTTGTCCTGTCACTGCGTGCTCATGTAAAAAAAATCCCTCTCCATCTTCCTTGTAGGCTCCCTTCAGGTTAAGACAGCATTTGAGCATCTCACCTAATAAAAACCTTCAGTGATTTTCTGTGGGAAAGGGAAAGCTGTGGTGACTGGATTAAAAATATCAACAACTTCTGGTACTTAAGGGTTGTTTGCTGGCCTGCTATGGCTGGGAGTGCAGAGCTGGTGGTGAATGGAGAGCTCATCCAGGCAGAAAATGAGCCCAGTTCCATGAGCAGCATCCCAGGGAGCTGTTAGCAGTGTTACAGCTGAGTGTAGGAGCAGAACCCCTTGAGGAGGAGAACTGAGAGCTCGGGGCACCTGTAATAGATCTGCTCCAGCCTGGAAGTCTGTTCTCTAATCTGGTTGATCAATCTGAAGTGGATCAATGACCAGGGAGGGGTGAGGAGCAGCCTGGCTGTTAATGACACCCAGCCAGGCTGTCTTTCAGCCTCTTTGCTCCCCAGGAGCTGGTCTGGAGTATCTACCATCACTGTTATTCTGACAGAGGGAGAGTTGATGTCTTCTACAACACTCTGATAGAAGTAGTTCACAGATTTCTTCCAGAGTAAGAAAGGATAGGAATGAATTTTGGGAGCTCTTTCTTCTGTTCTTGCTTTTATTGATTTACTGAGTGTCTTTGTGCCCATCATAAAATCTTGTTTAGGGTGTATTTAGAGTATTTTAGAGTCTCTCTGAAGGAATGGAGCAGGAATTTAATGAGTTTTCAATGTTTGGAGCTGCTGGATGGAACATGCTGGAAAGGGGCAGCAGAGTCTTCAGCCCAGATCCCACCCAGGGCAGGAGTCTCCGTTCTGCCTCTTCTACTTCAGGTGGCTTCTTGGGGCAAAAGTAATTTATTTTGAGCTTAGGTTAAGAAGGCACCTGCTTGGAGGAATAACTGACCATGGGATTGCAGGGGAGCCCTGGCAGCCTCTGCTCTACCAGGACACTCCTCAATGTTCCTCTCTTCTCCTAGGCCCCTCCAAGCCAGACTTTTGACTTGAAAAGCCTAGGGAGAGGAGGGAACAGGCAATTACAGCATCAGGCAGTCTGGTTCCCATTTTTTGGCCCCAGCATTAAAGCTTACAGAGATAAAAACTCAAATATGCTTCAAGGGAGCAAATGCTGCAAAGTGCCACCAGCTCTTGGCATTCTGTTGTAACTGTTTTTATCCACGTGGTTTCAAAAAGCTTCCCAGCTCTCCAAGGATTCTTTTTCCTGCTACTAGAATGCTCCTGTGGAGCTGGGGGTAATCAGCAGCTGTTCCATGGAGCACACAACTGAGTCGTTTGGGATGGAGAATGAGGGATAACCAACTTTGGGGAAGGTGGTGGGAGCTCGCTGGCATCTCAGGTGCAGAGCACCCAGGGCACTGGGGGAACAGGCTGCAGCTCTTCTGTCTGGGAGTTCCCAACTTTCTGTGCCCACTTCAGGATATTTCCCTGTTCTCTGTCATGCCTGTGAGATCTCCAGCTTATTTTCTGTGGAGTTCCCATCCTGTTCCAGGTCTGGTCACGGAGCTGCAGATGCTCATTTGACTGAAAGGTTTTCCTGTAGCTGCTTTCCTGTCCTGGGGGAGCTGGAGGAACATCCCTCAGTACCTGGGGAGTGCAGCCATTCCCTCTGGGATGGGGCTGCTGCCCATCTGAGGGATGTTTAACACTGAGGAATGTTAACCCTGGAGCTTCCTTAACTCTGCCCTCACGTATATGGTGATGGAGTACTGTGTGTGTGGGATGCAGGAAATGCTGGACAGTGTCCCAGAAAAGAGGTTTCCAGTGTTTCAGGCTCACGGGTAAGTTCTGTTCCTCTCCCCACTGTGTTCTCTCAAGTGGAGAGCACATTCTGCTCTGCTCAGGCTGTGTTTGAAAGCAAACCTGGCTTTGTGCAATAATTTCATATTTTACACCTATGCAGAAAGGTGAAAAGCTCTTGAAGTGGCCAGCAGGGATTGTCCTTAGATTCTGGGAGAAAAACCATCCTTCTGTTGATTTTTCTTTTCTTTTTGTTTTACTTCCTGAGCTGCCCAACAGCCCCCCCAGTCCCTGTGCTCCTGCCATCCCAAGGAGTATGAGGGGGCAGTCTCCTGCCTAAATGGAGGTCAAGCCACAGTTCAGCATCAGAAAAGACTTGAAAGGCCTTGGGATGGATTAGGGATTGACAATATCCAGCATGATGTGGTAGCTGGGGTAGTTAGCTGGGATAAGCTGGAGCCCCTTTCACTCCTCAAGGAAAGAAACTTGAGAATTCTGGGAATAGATACAAAAACATTGTCATGATCAAATCAGGGCAGAACAATGAATCTGTGACAGCTACATAATTTTATGGTCATATTTTAATTTTATTTCAAGAGATGTCTGAGATTACAGACAACCTAAGCGAAATCCAGGCACATTAATACTATTTCTGGGTATTATGAGATGAAACACTTACCTCTACAACTGCCAGGCTGCATGTGGGTTACAATGATGGCCCAGACTCTCTGACCACAGCAAAAAGCTCCTTTCTGCTGGCTAAAAGTGTTTGATTTTTTTTCCCCTCTGCCTCTCTCTGCAGGTACTTTTGTCAGCTTATAGATGGCTTAGAATACTTGCACAGCCAAGGGATTGTCCACAAGGATATAAAACCGGGGAACCTCCTGCTAACAACCAATGGGACACTAAAAATATCCGATTTAGGCGTAGCAGAGGTATGTGAGAAGCACAGCAAAGTCAGAATGGGACATTCTAGATTGAGGTCACCTCTGTGGTATCATTGATTTATTGTGCATTTAGGCTTTTGTTCTGTTGCAGAGTGCTTGAATATTTATTGCAATTGGCAAAGCACTTCTTTTGGTAGCAGCATGAAACCTCCACTCAAGAAGCACAGAGAAGGAAGATGTCAATCCTGGACGAGCCCAAAAGTGGGGGGAAATAGGGATGAGCTACATAACCTTATCCTTTTTTTTTTTTATATGTCTTAGGTAGGAGAGGTGCAAGACTTGTCACTGTGGCGTGTGGCTGCTGTTGGTGGCATGATCTCATCATCTGTAGATGTTCAGTAGAGGAGTTTTCCCCTGTTGTTTCCCAGGTGGAATTTTTCCAAGAGTCACAGTTTGTTTTCCTTGGAAGCCTGACACTGTTTGGTCTCTCCTGCTGCAGGCATTGCATCCATTTGCAGAGGACGACACGTGCAGGACAAGCCAAGGGTCGCCAGCATTCCAGCCCCCAGAAATTGCCAATGGCCTTGACACCTTTTCAGGCTTTAAAGTCGACATCTGGTCTGCGGGGGTGACGCTGTGAGTGCCCAGAAGCCCCCAAGAACTTCATAACTAATGACACCCTCAGATAGCTCAGTCCTGGCCCAGCTCTGTCATCACTACTCTTGTGTGATGGGGGGAGCTGAGAGGGGGGTGCTGCTTGCTCCTGTGGGTGGATTTATGCTCCCCAAAGTACCTGTGGTTCTGCACAAGGGGATCTTTGCTCTCCATGGGTGACTCTGCAGCTGTTGCTCAGCTCCCAGAGGCACAGCCAGGGCAGTAACAGAAACCACAAGTATCTCCAGTATTTATTTTTAAGTTTTTGCTTTCTCAGACTGTCAGGGAGATGTCCTGGTGGTTTTGACCCCTTTGAATGAAAAGCTGTGAGAAAGGCAGGCTAAGCTTAAAGAGGTTTTGCACATACTGCCAAATATTCCTCTTTTGGTTTCCTCTTGACTGCTTTTGGCTTACGTAGTCAGGTAAGAACTGAGTACCTGTGTTCTGCTTCTCATCCTGCTTCTCCTTCTGCCTTCACAGATACAATATCACAACGGGTCTGTACCCTTTTGAAGGGGATAATATCTATAAATTATTTGAAAACATTGGGAAAGGCGACTACACAATTCCAGAGGATTGTGGTCCTCCACTCTCAGACTTATTGAGAGGTGAGTCTTCCCAGCTGCTTTCAAAAGGGTAACATTTATAGATGCAACAGCTTGCACAGAGCCAGAGCTTCCTTCCAAGTGTCCTGTGGGGATATGGGATCCTGTTAGTCAGGGAGGTTATACTTACAGCCTTACAAGATTCTGGCAGATCTTCAGCACTGATGTGTTCCTGAGATCCCTGCACAGCTCGCAGCCACTACTGTGTAGGGTTGGTTCTTGCATGGTTTCCTGTGTTCTGAGAAGCTTTTACATCTAAAGACAAAGCCCACAAGAGGTTAAAGTTAAAATGGCGTAATAGCATTGATGCAGGTTTGGACAGGTAGAGTGCTCAGATGCTGTGTCCAGGCTTTCCCTGATGTCACACACTGAATATTCAGGGTCTGCCGTCCCTTCTCATCAACCTCTGCTCTGGACTTAGTTGTCTCAGTCCCATTTGTCCCCTTCCCCTCAAATTTAAAGCTGCAGGATATTGGAGCAGTGACAATTTCACAGCAGGACTGGGATAGGACCAGGAGTGGCACTTTCTGGGAAAAAAATTGTGGGGCTTTTCGTTGTTTTTTTTTTATTCCTATCACTTATTGCAGCAGTTTGAGGTTTAGTGCTGAACAGTCTCTACCTGTGGAATCTGAGTGGTCAGGCAGGGCAGCAGTTGTGCTGTGTGCACAGCAGGCAGCTTGGTGAGCTCCTTTGACAGGAGCTGGGGTGTGATTCCAGCCTGTGGGAGAGCCTTACCAGCATTCCCAGTGCCTGCAGCAGAAGAGCCGAGTGCAGCAGTGCTCCCCAACCCTCAGCACGGGCTCATCCTCTCCTTTCTGTTCATCTCTTTGTGAGGAATCAGCCCCCAGTTGTGGGATGTTTGCCTTGTTTCGCATTGGTTTTCTGTGCGTTTGGTGAGGGGCTGTGCCCCTCTGCTGGCAGCGTGTCAGCTCTGCAGGCCCCGGGCTCCTGGTGCAGGAACACAGCTCCGGGCTTAGTGCAGGGGACATGGGCTCCTGGCTCCTGGTGCAGGGACACAGCTCCGGGCTCCTGGTGCAGGGACACAGCTCCGGGCTTAGTGCAGGGGACATGGGCTCCTGGTTCAGTGCAGGGACAAAGGCTCGGGAGAGGGACACAGCTCCGGGCTCAGAGCAGGGATGCAGGCTCGTTGCAGGGAGACAGCTCCGGGCTCAGAGCAGGGATGCAGGCTCGTTGCAGGGACACAGCTCCGGGCTCGGTGCAGGGACACAGCTCCGGGCTCGGAGCACGGCCCTGGCTCCCGGCTCGGTGCAGGGACACAGCTCCGGGCTCAGAGCAGGGATGCAGGCTCGGTGCAGGGACACAGCTCCGGGCTCGGAGCACGGCCCTGGCTCCTGGCTCGGTGCCGGCCGTGCTGGCGGCAGGTGGTGCTGTCAGTCCGAGCTCTTCCGCTGCCGCCGCCCGGGGCTCCCCCGGCCCCTCGGCACCAAGGAGCTGCCAGACCTCCGCAGCCCCCCTCGGAGGCTATTTTAGCTTCCCTGGCCCCATTCCAATGATGAAATCAGTTATTTCCATGTGTTTCCAAAAGCATTAGCCAGCTTTAGCAGCTTTCCGAAGGCGTTACATAAGGCAGCGCTTCCAATGGCGCTCGGCACAGCCGGGATCCGGCTGCTCCGCTGAGCCCGACACGGTGGCTGCTCCTGCCCTGATGTGCTTCACATTGCACCTGCCAGCCCCAGGGAGAAGTGGCCTGAGCTCCGTGTGGCATTTGGCTTGTGACTGCTGACTCCAAACGTGGCCTTTTAATGAGCTGGGAATTGCCCAAGTGGAGCAAATCCCGCAGTCCTGTTGGTCCGGCAGCAGTTCTCCTAAAGCATCCAGCAGAACTCCTTGGAGGTTTGTGATCAGCCTCTCAGCTGCACTTAGTGATTCCCCCAGGGAAAAAGAGAGTGGCAGTTTTCTCTTTTCCTGTGCTGAGGATATTGACAGCTTAAAATCTTATGCTTCATTAGCACAATAACTCCTCTCCTAGTTCTCCTCCCACCCCTGCATGAGATCTGGAGCCAGAATTACCTACTCTTCCCTCTGCCTGATTTTACATGGAGGAGCCTTGAATCTGGTGCCCTTTGTCCATCTCTTACAGCCTGAGTCTCCTCTTGCATCCTCAATGCTGTCAGTTTGTCTGTCTGCATCCCTTCTGTGCTTGTGCACCACAGAGGTGGGAGTCGAGTGGGTTTGGTGAGAAGAGGAGCTTGTCTGGGAGGAGGTGGCTATACCCCTTTCTTTCAGGGCAGTGGGAAGCCCTAAGGATCCCTTTACCTGTCCTCTCTCCCACCCCTCATCTTGCTGTGTACAAGCTGCTGCATTGCAAAAGCTGGCAAAACCTTCTGATATTCCTCTTGCTTGGTGTGAGGCACATTTTCCAGTGGTCAGCATGCCAGGTGGCCTCGAGGGGGATGAATTTTGGGGTGAGATTGCCCCAGGTTTGCCTGTTCTGGAGGCCTGAGCAGCATCTGCTGAGGCCCAGGGCTGAGCTGTGCAGTGGTGGCACCACGTAGCTATGGTGACAAACCTGGCTGCTTTATTTAGTTCCTGCTTTTCCTCCAGAACATCTGCATTTCCTGGTCGGTGCCTGCTCCTCCTGCAGCAGGCTGGAGCTGAATCCATTGCCTGTGGATCAGATACTGTAAATGGCTGTGTTTGTGTGAGCAGCACAGACACCCCCAGCTCAGCTCTGTCGCTCTGGCGGTTTCGTCTCATCTTTGTGTTGCTTTGAAAGGCTCTAAAAGCCCTTGCAGGGCTGTGAGTGCCTGGTCTGGGTTTGAGTGAGGCAGAATTCAGTGTAGCAAAGTGCTCATTTCCTCTGTCTGCCAGGGCTGTGCTGACCACAGGCCCCACAGTCGGGCTGTGAAGTAAACACAAACACACTTTGTAAGGTTTTTTTCTTCTTCTGTTGACTACTTTTGTAGTGCGTCTTTACTTTTTCTTCCCCTTGAGCTTGTTCTTATCTTTGTTCCCCTTTTCCAGAACAGCAGAGTTTAGAGGACTTAAAGCTTCAGTGGTATTTGGCTTGTAAAGAGACTCGCATGACAGTATATCCTCCAGATTAGTTGGGATGCTGCTCCTCGTTTTGTCTCCCTAATCAGGGATGAAGCTTTATTTATACTCTTCAGGGATGGAAAGAAGAAGGGCTGGTGCTGTTTTGTGTGTGCACTCAGGAGAGATGTGTCAGAGTGGAAGAGTTTATAAATAGCTTTAAGGTTCTTCTGGCAGCATCTGCCCATGGCTTATCAACTCCTGTGCACTTTGCTTCTGGACCAGAAAAATGCACAAGGTCAGCTTTCCTCCTCCTGGTCTAATAGACTTTTACTGGAAGAGGAAGCTCTGAGGCTGCAGCTCTGCATTAATCAGTATCTGGATTGATTTCCAGGCCTTGTGACCTGGGACGTGGTGGTTGGATCCTTAGCAGTTTGTTTCCTCACTTCCATGACCTTTCCTTGCTGGGACAGTGAGAGAGGATGCATCCTGGTGACAGAGGGGTGCTTTAATTCTGCTGTAGCAGGAGTCCCCAGGGCTGTCTGTGCCCATCCGGAGGCCTGGCCTGGATCACAGGCTCGAGATTTGCCTGCAGAGGGAGTTTGTGGCCAGAACAGCCAGCTGAGTGCAGGGAGAGGGAGATGGTCCTGCCTTATTTACAGATTTGCCTCGCATTGGTTTTACAGTGGTTGTTAAATGTTGATCCAAGTCGGAGACTGAAGTGAAATCCAGGTTGAGTTCTTTAACCTTGCTGTTGGATTTCTTCCTGTTTGTTCAGTCCCACACCTGAGATTGTCCTGTGTTCTGAACTCTGGAGCTGTGCCTGTCCACTGAGTGTGTGGGCTGGGGGTTGTGAGGAGCAAATCCAAGATCTCCAGTTTCTGGGTTGTCACTTGATGTGATTGGAAAGGGTTTTGAAACTGTTGATGTGCAGCAGAGAGAGGACAAAATACCCCTGTCTGGACACAACTGTGTGGTGTCTGTGCTTATCAGTTTAATACCTGATAATACTCAATGAGAGCACTTCATATTTTAGGAATAATTTCCTCATGGAAAGGGTTGTCAGGCACTGGATGGAGCTGCCCAGTGAGTTTTGGAGCCCCCATCCCTGGAGGTCCCCAAGGAACACCTGGACATGACACTCAGTGCTCTGCTCTGGGTGACAAATTGGGGATCAGCCACAGGTGATTCTGTGACACCCCTGTATGGACACAGGGAGTACTGGGGAGCAGAGCTTGGAATTGGCCTCATGAAGCATTCCCTGGCACAGGCTGTCCCATCCCTGCTCGCAGATAAACTCCAGGGAAGTCTTTACCCTAAATGGCCGCAAGCGGCGGCGGCTGCGGGCAGACGCTCCGGGATGACTTGCCTGGTGAATAGAACATGATGTTTTGTCTTGCTGAAGCCTCTCTTCAGAGCAGGACTTGAGCCACAGAGCTGCCACGAGTGACTCAGAGCTGAATGTATGAATGTACATTTTCAGCGAGGACACTTTCCGTTTTCTTTCAAATGTTGCCCCAAATGCAGTCATTTTTCATTGGAGTAAAAATTCCTTTGGCTCAATTATTTTCCTTCTGCCTTTTTAATGGCTTGAGAGCAACAGCTCCCTGTGCCATGGCTGTTTGTGCCTACTGCTCTTAGGTCTCTTTTAATCATTTACCTTAAACTTCTTCTCCTGCTTGTACCGGTTTCATCTGGTAAATGCCTTAAATTTCAAAAACACCTTGAAGTGTGGTTGGTAAATAAATCAATGGGGGGAGTGGGTGGTGTCCTGACTTCCCTGTTTCTCTCGAGATTAATAAGAGAACATGACCAGTACTTGCTCCTGTCTCCTAAACTTCATGTGAGAGCTCTTTGTGGCCCTATTTCTTAAAAAGAAAAAAAAAAGCCAACTCATTTGGGCAGCTCAGCTGTGAAACTGTCTGATCATCTTATTAATAGGTTCTTTAATTAGGTGTGGGATTTTTTTTTTTCTCTGAACTTATTTCGTTTTCTGTAAGGTGAGGAGAAATTCCATCTGAACGTGAGAAAACTCCTTTGCTGCCAGAGTTGAGCTCTGGAACAGGTTGTAATTGAGGGGGTAGAGTTTCCATCCTCAGACACCTTCAAAACTCAGTCCAGACAAATCTCTTGGGAACTGGGCTCTGAGGACTCCAGTGCCTCGAGTTCCTGAGCCAGGAACCTGACCTGTGACCTGGTGAGCTCTTCCTGGATTGCTTTAACCTACTTCATGTGATGTCATGTGGATCAGTAGTGATCCCATCTGCCATAAAGCTCTTAATGCTGTCACCAGCATGGATAAACCGTCCCAAATTGCCAGGGCAAAGTGTATTTTGGGTTCTGGGGACGAAATAACTTCAGCCTTTCCCCACTGTATGTCCTATCCCCCTCTCTTTGCCCATATCTGATGTGATATGAACAGACTGACAGGGAAGATGTTCTGGAGCAGCTTTTGGTATCACATGTGCTGTGGTGATTTATCTCTTCCATGACCTTTGAATTGCAGGATCTTACCTGCAAGGCCCCTGTAGCTTCCTGCTTTTACTCGGATGTGTCTTTCCATCCCTCATTTCCAAGTGTCCACCCAGATGTTTCCCCCACCCCTGTGTTCTCAGTGTGTCCTTGTCCTGGCTCTCCCCAGCACTCTGCACTGTTTGTTCCTGTCCTGACTTTCTGAATTCCTGTTTGACAGTGAGTGCTGCTTCCCAGACTTTTCTGGTTGCTGGAGATGGGTTCTTCCTGTTCCAACCCATCTCCAAACCTTCATTCTTCATGCAACCTGTGCAAGACTTGATAGTACAGGTGCTTCAGGAGCAGCAGGGGATCATCCATTAAAAGCAAAACTCCTTGAAGTGTGCAGCCATGAGGCTTTATTAATGTTCATTAGGTGAATATATTCCTGGAACCTTTATTGGAGAATATCTTGGATGCTGCTGGATCAAACACTCAGGGTTCCACTGGCTCATTTCCAAAGAATATGGCAAAATTTGCTCCTTCCCTTCTGTTGAGTTGTGAAGCTTCTGAAAGGCAGTGGAGCAGAGTGGGCTTCCCAGGAGGCTGTTTAAGGAATCCACCTCCCTCTCTCCCAGAGAGAATAGGGATGAGCTGCTTTTCCTCTCCCCACTCTGCTCACCACCCACCTCAGCTACCTCAGCAGATGATCCCAGAAATCCAAGTCCTAGCCAGGGCACAGGAATGGGCAGTGGGATGATTTTTTTGTTAATTCTCCCCAACTGCACCTCAGAATAGAATTCCACTAGACCAGAGGATCTGGGACACTGAGCAAGAGGCTTTAGCTCTTCCATGGAAATGCAAAGTCTTGATTTTCCTTGCCTGGAGACTTTCGTAGAGCTGTGATTGAGGGCTGGACAAGCCTCAGTCCCTGCACTGGGAGGGAGGGAAGGGCTGTACCTGCTTTGCTGTTGGGAAGCTGAGGAGCAGACTGGAACGGATCAGCAATGGGATTGGGATTTTATGCTGAGTTTCCTGTGGCCAATGGAGCAGATCCTGCCTGGAGCTGCCAGGACTGGACACAGCATGGCTGTTGGGGAGGGAGGGGGAGGAAAGGACAGATCTTTGTGCTTCCTGGCTTCTACTCAGCTGAGAGTGTCTGTGATCACACCTGGACTTTTTTCCTTCTTTTCAGGGATGCTGGAATACGACCCAGCCAAGAGGTTCTCAATACAGCAGATAAGGCAGCACAAGTGAGTGTTACCAGCCCTTCTCTTCCTGCTCCTCCTGTACCTGTGCTCCTCCTCTCACCCCGTTTCCTTCTGACAGCAGACACATGGAAGTCACTAGATCTCCTTCCTCCAGCTCTGCTGGGGCTCTGGCAACCTCCACTTGGCTTTTTTCCTCCTATTAGAGCATCCGGTGAAGCACTGGAATTACTAACCAGTAAATAAGGAATATGTTGGACGTCTGTTTGTGGCGTGCCTGCTTCTGGATAATTAAGGGTTCTGGATAATTTTTTCCAGAGGCCAGCAAGTACTAATGGAGCAGAACAGGAGGTCCTGAAGGCTGTGTTATTGAAGTAGGACTGTTCAGTAACGTGTGTTAGTTCTGGCCAGTCTGGGGACAGAAATATCCCCTGGTATTTGCTCCATATGGAGTCAGTATGTGGAAAAGCGTTCCAGGACAATAGGAAATTTTTTTTTCCTTTCTCTTTAATATCACAGTCCTCCCTCCCCCATATCCTCCCCCATTTTCCGTGCCATAGTCAGGGGGGAAATGCCCCGTTATCACTGAAGGGTTTTTTTTTTTAAGGATCTGTTTGAACACGCTGGCTCCGAGCAGAGATTTCCTGGGCGGATAAAAGTACAAGAACAAAAAGCATCATGAGGCTGTGCTTCACTGCGGAGGCTGCATTAGCTTATCTCCTCTTGAAATGGGAAGTGCTTCTGAGGACAGGCAGAGCTGCCTCTGGACTGCAGCTGCTTGGCCCGTGAGCCTGCCCAGATCCTTTAGGGAGCTGTAAAAGCAAGGATGTGATCCAGGGTGGTGCTGAGCCCACTCCATGCTGCAGGAACAGCGCTGCTTTCCTCTTGTGTCTTTGGAAAAGCCATGTGCTGTCAGGTGATGGTCCCTGGGTGTCACAGCCAGAACCTGAGAGGCCTGAAATGCCTCTGCAGGGAGCAAACAGGACCAGCTCCAACAGGGATTGGAGGGACCAGGGTGCAAGCAGGGCTGAGGGGGTAGGGTTTATGGAGCTGCCCAGGTGATTAATTAAGTGTCAGGATGACTCTTTTGTAGTAGCCAAGCCCCACATCACGGTTTTCAGGGGCTCTGAGTGCTGAAAGGCACAGGCATCTTCCATTTGAGGCTGCCTTACCCTGCACGTACCTCCCTGTACCAGTTGCCATGACCAGATCAGCTTGCCATGCTTCATCGGGAAGCACTGCAAAGAAGCAGGAATTAAGTCTATGGAGTCATCAGTAGGTGTTGAGAAAAGCACTAAAAGTGTTTCCTTTCCTGTGACTGCAGTGGCCACCCCTGAGCTCAGGAACTGCCCTGGGCCCTCACGGGTCACTGCCAGGTGATTGAGCTGGTTCCCCAATTCCAGATACTCCATTTTGCCCTCCTCCCACGTGGCAGGGATTTTTTTGTGTCAGCATTGCCCAGCTGGAAGCACAGAGGAGTCTCCAGAGATGCTGCCTGTAGTTAGAAAGCCAGAGAAACTGGAGCAAGGCTGTGGCACGGGGCAGCCACCGAGCTCCTCCACTGCTGTGCCGAGGCTTTTCATCCCACAGCACTCAGAGGGGCTGAGGAAAGGCTCTACCTGCAAACCCAGGAGAATTTCTCAGGCTTAGGCTCTTATTAGTTTTGTGTGAGCTTAGCCAGTGCTTCTTAACAGGCTTTTCTCCCCTATTAGTAATTGCCTCCTTCCTCCTGCTGTGGCATCTCGTAATTACATCAAGCACAGCAGAGCTTGCGGCCTGGGCCTTGGATGTGTCTGTCCAGCTTCTTTTTGTGCTAAAGAATCCAGAGCTTCGTTCTCCTGGCTTTTCTTTAAATAGAAACTTAGCCCTGATGCTTAACCTGACCTTGTTTTTTTTTTTTTTTTTTTTTTGTAAATGGAGCGCAGCAGTCAGGACAGCAGGCAGCCATTCAGGTATTGGCAGACGGGTTTGGGAAAGCACTTTAGTAAAAAGAGGTTTGATTTCTAGAGCCCTTAGATTTCATCTATTGGCAGGAGTAAATCATTAATGATTGTGGGTTTCTCTACACTCCTCCCCCCAAAAGCATGTGCTAAGGACAGGAACTAAACCAGAGAAACATCAAGCAACTTCCCCAGGCTGCCCTGCTGGGATGGATCCCATCTCAAATCAGAATCACCCTGTGCCTTTTCATGCTGCTGGAAGTCTCCTTTTATGTCTTTGTGCTGCTATTCCTGGGGACTCACTCATATGGACAGTCAGGATCATCAAAGTGCTCTGAAATCAGCAGGAGCAGTCCCTGGATCCCAGGCAGCAGTTTTGCACTCAGGCTGCTGGACCAGGCTCATGTCAGGGTGTTGGGAAGGGGCAGTGTTCCCCTGCCCTGTGGGAAGGGTGATCCCAAGGTGTGCTGCAGCCACAGAGTTGGGGCTCAGCACCCATCCTTCCCCACTTCACCTTCCACAAAGTGTGAAGGCCCTTGCAGTGGGATCAGGGATAAAGTCAGTGGCTTAGGGGCACTGAGGAAGCCCCAAGGGAGCACAGAGTGCTATTCCATAGGGAGCAGAGCTGCAGGAGGCAGGGAAGGCATCCAGGCAGCCCAGCAATGGTAATCCAGCCATTCCTCCCATTATTCCTGTCAGCTTTCCAAATGCTTTTGCCCTGCAGCAGCAGAGGAATGCTGGAGGAAGAGTCTGCTGAGTTTCATCCCTACCAGCTGCCTTCCTCCCTCCTCACTCCTGCAGCTGAACTGCATCAAACTCCTGTCTCTGCACTTTTACTGGAGCGGGACAAAACAAAATGCTGCTCTGTTCAACCCAGTCCGTGCAGAGCAGACTTGGAGCTGGAAATGGAAATGAGTTAAACTTCTCCCAGCCTGTCATCTCAGAGCTTAGGAACTGCCAGAAGCTGACCCCTGAATAGCAATGGAAGAGCCTGAAGACCTGCTTTCCCTGGAAGGATCCGAGTGGGATGATGTTCAGTGGAAAACCAGTGCTCATAGCTGAACTCTGTGAATATTTGGTGCTCCTGGGACAGGGATTGTAGGGCAGGGAGGAAAAGCTGCCAAGAGCCAGGGAGTTCCAACCTCCTCCCTCTGGATTATCCACCACCTCCCCTCTGCCCCGTGCTTTTGCTGAAGGGCTTCCTGCTCGTACACTGCATTTTGTTACTAATTCACTGACCTGCTGCAGCACTTAAAGTGATGAAGTGGATGCAGAATTCTACCTCTGTCCCTTGTTTCCAAGGCAACCATCTTCCCTTCCCTCTCCACAAGTATCACACTTAATTTGTTCAGGCGCAGATCCGATTGCAGGAGTTCATAGCACGGGAGGGGGAGGCACTTCCGCTTTTTGTTAGCGGAGGTGCAAATTAACCTGCAGGGCCGGGGTCTCCTCCTGCCCTCCTGGAGCTGCTCTGCTGCCTTCCCCAGCACTGTGGGGTTTGGATTGTGGCTCTGGGATGCTGTGCTGTTCAAATCTGGGCACCAAACCCCTTGGAAATCTGTCTGGTGCTGCTGAGGGCTCCTGTGCAGGACTATGCTCCTGAGCTGCATTTGAGGGAGAGGGGCTTCTCCGAGCCTCTGCTGCTGCCTTGTGGGCTTTCCCCAGCCCTTCTCTGTGGTGCCAGGCAGTGATGTCTCCTCAGCAGGACACAAAGAAGCATTCCTCTTCCTTCCTGTGGCATCTGACTCAATCTTCCTGCCCTCTGGCAGCACCTGGAAGGGATCTTTCCTTCTTTTACCCACATTCTACACATCAGTTTTGTAACATGGTGTGTTAAAGGACTGAATCTCCAGAACTCCTTGTCGGAGTCTGAGCCATCCCTGCCACTTTTGGTCCTACTACCAGCTGGGAGGAGCTGCTGTTTTTATACTTTTGTTTGTTCTGAACCTGACTGAAGAGCTTGGACATCTCTTGATCCAGCAAGAGTTGAAGTGGTGATTGCAGGGACACTGCTGGCGTGTGTTGCCTTTCCCTGGGACATTGTGTGCCTTCCACGATTGCCTGTGAGGGAGCTGAGCTAAACTGGAGCCCTGTTCATTGCTGCTTGTGGTGACAGTGACCTTCCAGGGAGCTCGAGGCCCTTACATGGCATCACAGGAGGTGGAGAATCGCTTGTCCTGACCCTGGCTGGCAGGGCAGGGATCTGCAGTTTGGCATCTGCTCTCAGAGAAAACCATCCCTTTGCAAACCAAGCCAACTGCAATGTTTGTGACCCAAATGGGAAGTGAATAGCTGGGAGTGTTGGAAAGCTGCAGCTGTGCTTACAAGATTCTTATTTTAACCTTGCTTATACCACGACTTGAAAAGAGCAGAGGGAGGACTTGTGATGGGAGATCTGAGCTTGGGAGCTGCAAACCAAACGGGCTCATTAAGCACTGGGCAACCCAGATTCCTCTTTTCCTTCAGTCCTTGACCCTTGCTGTCTTATCTCCCTGTGGCTGACAGCAGCTGTCTGGGCACCACTTCTGCCTGGCAGGATCACAATTAACGCTTGTGTCGCTGCTGGCCGAGGGTTCTGAGCTTTGCAGGCGCCTCAATGAGCTTGTGGAATAGCAAGAAATAATCCCTTACTACTGCTGCCTTCACTCTGAAGCATTTCTAAGCCACTCCCAGCCCTTTGAAACAGAGACCAGAGAGGAATCTGCCTCTTGCAGAGGGATGTTTTGCACAAGGGGCGCTTCTGAGGTATCCAAAATGTTTTCTTTGCCCTCAGGGTTAAAGCAGCTGCCACAAGCACCAGGTAACTGTGTGTGTACCAGTGCAATTGGCTCAGGAAACATCCCTGAAAGTGGGAATAACTGGTGGAACAGGGCACTCATCAGCAGGGCTCTGACCCGGCCCATGTTTTGGGTGGTGGTTGAAGAGGGGCTTTATTTCATGGCCATCACTGACCAGGAGGTGCTGCTTTCTGGCTCAGGCAGTGGCTTCCTGAGGCAGATGAGGGTGTTCCAAGAGCCAGTGGTCCTCAGCTGAAGAGCAAATCTTCAGTGACAACCTCCAGCACCAGCACAGAAAGCGGAATGTCTGTCCCTGCTGGAAAATCCTTGCCAGGAAATACTCCACTACTCTGTACAGAATTGCTTGAGGCTCCTTCCAAGAGGTCTTTGATTTTTCTTAGAACTTCAATGGATTTCTCTTCTCACTCTCTATCCTCATTACCATATATGCATATGCAAGTGTTTGAAATCACCTCCCGGAGGATGGAAGCATAATGACTGGAGTACAGTGATTCAGGTTTCTGCTGCTAATAAAAACCTATTTTTACTCTCCTGGTAAGTAGGACAGGAGGGAAGAGTGAGGCAGAGCTGAAATACAGCAAAATAAAAACACCAGTTGCTGTAGACTTCCAGGCTTTTTCCCTTTAAAATTGTCCTTTCAACAGCAATCACTCTGATCTCATTTGTCCTGCATACTCCCTTCTCCCAAGGGCTCTGGTGTTGAGTTTGGATCCCTCAAGCCTCAGTGCCCCTGGCAAAACCAGCTAGTGGCTGGTGGCTCCTCTGCCCCTGTGCTGCTGATCCTGCCAGGCTGGATCAGCCCAGGCTGGATTTGCTGTCTTGGCAGTCACTTCCTCGATGAACAGAGTCTCCAAGGAAGGGAAATGGATTGATCCGATTAGGAGAGCAGTGTGCCACACACGTCACCGAGGAAGCCATCCAAGGAATCCATCCATGGCATCTGTGAAGAAGAGCCCTGGGCCAGAATCGAGTTATGCTGGTCCCACTCCCTTCCTGCTGGTCCAGCAGCTGGGATAGGCTTTGCTTAACTCCTGTAGTGCCCCTTCAGGAACCAGAGGTGACAACTGCCAGCTGAGATCTGCAGCAGTTGCTGTCCCTCTCCCCAAACAACACTTTCCTCCCTGCAGATAAGGGGAGCTTGCCTGGCTCCAAAACTCCATTGCTGCAGAGAAAACAGTTTAAAGATGCTGATGGTGAAGCAGTTTCTGGATGAGAGCTCACCCCTCCCTTGAATCTTGCCTGATTTGTCCCAGTAGCTGCATTTCCATTTGTTTATCTCCTCACTCCTCGCTTTTCCTGATAGTTTTGTTAGAATCCCACTTTTTTTTTAGGCCGACTGTCAAAGCAGTGTAAGACTAGAACAAAATGATAATTACAGCTCTGCGCAGGAGGTGCCTTCAGCCTTCCTTCCTGAAAGGAATTTGGATCTGGGGTGATAAAAACCAGATGGCTCAGGTTGATGAGAGTTCTTGGGCTGGCTCAGGCCCTCCTCCATGGTTGGAGGCCAGGAGTTACTGGATGCCAACTGCAGGATGGGAAGCACTTGTGTCCCATCAGGCTTGTGTGGGCTGTAAAGGTGTGTTAGAGGTACCTGGGTCTGGAGAAACCTCTGCTCCCACCCACATTTAGGGGGTCACTGGGAGTGTGGAGGCTCCAGCAGCACTTCCAGGAAACTTTGGGTGCCCACATGCAGCACTGGGAGATGTCCCAGACAGTCTGGAGTCAGAGCTCTGCTATGGGAGTACGATGAAAACCTAAGAGGTTTATCCCATCTGGCTCTGGGATGTGCTGGGAAGCAGCCTGCTGGATTCCTGATCTGATTAAGAACAGCTTTTGGAGCTGATATCCTTTCCTGGCCAGATGGCAGCACAGGGTTTGGTGGTGATAGGAGTCCCTCGAGACAGGGAGGGATAAAAAGATAAAGTAGAAGTGTTTCTGCTGTGGCCTTGGTGCAAACTGGCTTTTAAAGGAAACTGCTGCAGTAACTGCCCCTCTCCTCAGGCTGGGATACTTCAAACTTGTGTCTGTTGGGCTGGATCAGCCTCAGCTTTAGGATAGGGGATGCTTCTTGCTTGAATAATAAAACTCAGGAGCTCTGGCAGCTCTGCTGATGCGTTTAGATTTACAGGTAGTTTGGGCTGGAGTTGGTGATGGAGAGAATGGTCCTGAGCTGCCCTGTGTGCCTGTCCCTGTCCCTCTGTTCCTGTCCTGTTCCCAGCGTGTCCTTCAGCACACTCCACTACCAACACCTGGCCAGACTTTTTGGTTCCTCCTGACCTGCCGTGGGTGGAGCTCCCAGCTCAGAATATTGGGGTGGGCTGGGGCCATGGTCATTGGAGGACTCCTGCATGCCTTGTGCACTGACCCAGCTCTGCCCTTGGGCTCTTTGCAGCTGGTTTAGGAAGAAACACGCTCAGGCAGAGGCGCTGGTGCCCATCCCTCCCAGCCCCGAGACAAAGGACAGGTGGAGGAGCATGACGGCGGTGCCTTACCTGGAGGATCTGCATGGCTACAATGAGGAAGAGGATGATGATTTGTATGACATTGAAGATGATATCATCTACACTCAGGACTTCACAGTACCAGGTAGGGGAGAAGTGGTTGTGAGGGATTTTTTGTGTTTAAAGGTTTTTTAGGAAAGGCCTCGAGGTCTGAATAATCCTTTCAGCAGAGGAGGAGATTCTTGGTTTGTGGAATGGTGTGAGTGAGCCATGATGCTCCTGATTCCTCAGTCCTTGATTTGATCAACCAGGATGCTCCTCCCAGTGTTACTCCTGTGCCAGCTTCTTCCCTTCTCCCAGGAACAGCTGCTGCTGGACTCTGCTGTTCAGCACAGTTAATTCTTTGGAGCAATTTTGCTAGAATGAGTTATTTGTGAGCAGAGCCCTGAAATGACTCTGTCTTCAGGGTCTGTGGCACACTGGGGGATCCCCTGCATGCTGGGGGGTCCCAGCCCGGCCCTTGCCTTCCTCAGCTCCATGTCCATGCCAGCCTGACCACTGCCAGAGCTCCCCACATCCTCCATGTCCATCCCAGGTGAGCAGGATGAGCCCCATGCAGGCAGGTGTCTGAGGTTAAGAATCACACTGAGAGCAGAGACACCAGGAATTTCACCTTCCTCATACAAACAGCAATGTTTAAACCCAAATCAGAGCTGTCATGGTAGATGACAGGCAGATTACTGGAAGATCTTTCATGTTCTCTATGTAATTTGTGCTGTTACAGAGGAATTAGAGATCTAAAGGGTGAGAAGGGCTGGTGAGGTGGGATGTACAGTGTTTGTGGTGGGCAGGAATCCCCTCAACATGGAACACACTCGTGGGAGGAGCAGGGTGAGGAGGGTCCCAGCACAGAACCTTGGTGGGTTTGTGAGGCATTGCAGAGGTGGGGGCAGCAGAGGGAATAAATGAATTTTTCCACCAAAATCTTCCTGCAGCATCCCTTTGAACCTGCCCGGTACTGCATTTCTAGCAGTGATCCCATTTTAAAATATAAATTAAAAGCCCCCTTGTACATGAGGGATCATTTCAGTTGTGGCTCTGCTGGGCAGCCAGAGCAGGAGTGTGAGTGACTCATGGGTGGGGGTGGGTATTGGGTTTGAGGGGGGGGGAAGAGGAAACCTCATTAAATCCTGTGTTCTTCAGAGGAAGAAGGGGCTTTGAGGAAGTGCTTTCATTTTTAAAGGGTTATTTAAAGATTCATGCAGCTCTGTGGGGAGATGTAAATGTTCCAAGCCCCTGGTTCAATCGGTGTTAAACTTCCCATCCAGTGAGTGCTAGGAGAGGATGGAGGAGAGGATGGCTGTGGCCTGGAGGCAGAATCCTCTCCCCACTCTTCATGCAGTGCAGTGGAAGGATGTGATCGAGCTCGGTGATTTTGTGCTGCCTCAGGTCTAGAGGTTGAGCTCTGCTCTTTCCTGTCCTACATTAACCCCTCCTCTGCTGCAGCCCCATCCTGCAGCACCTGCTTCTGGGTTTTTCAGTCTGAGGCTGGAAAATACAGCCAGGACTGGAGCTTCTGAGCCAAGCCTTGTGCTCAGGAAGGTGCATTCCTGGCTGCTCATGATGCCTGTGTGCTCAGTCTGACAAACAGCGATTCAAAAGCTCTTTGCGGTGTTGTTTTGAAACCTTTTTTGGTGCCTGAATGAGCTAGATGCAGAGCCATTAAGAATGTGAGGGGTAGCAGAGATGAGCAGCCACGTTCCTGGTTCCTCTCTCAGCCCTCCCTTTATTTATTTTATTTTTAGTCCTGCTGGTGGTGAGGGTGAGGTGGGCAGGAGCTGCTTGGGCAGACACAGCGCTGGGTCAGCGGTTCCGCGGGGGCAGCAGTTGCCAAGACTTCAGCCCGTGCTGAATTTTTATTTTCATTAATTTGAACGTCAGCAACTGTCATTGGTGAAGGAGGTAAAATTAGCTCACGATTCACCTCCCTCCTTGGTATCCATAATAGACTCCCGGGACTGTGCTTTTGAAGCAAGGAAGGAGGGGAGGAGGGAAGAGTCACACAAAAGACAAATGAGCTGTTTGGATAGATTCTTTTTTCCCTCCCCAGTCAGAAATGTTAATTGACTTGGCCCAAGTTCAGCCGAGGGAGGGGAAGGAGAAAGTGCTCAGCTTTGCTCTGAATGGGGTTGTTTGAGGCTCTGCAGTCATGCTGGTGGGATGGAGGGATGGGAGATAAAACCTGGAGCTCTGGGGGGCTGCAGCCAGGCTGTGCTGGGCTGGGGCTGCAGCCTGACCCATGTGAGCCCCCGAGGGAGCCCCATGCCTGGGGGCTCTGGGGCCGACGTGTCACCTTATTCTAGAGCTTGGACCCCTGAGCCCTTTCCATCCCTCACCCCTCCAGAGGAGTCAGGCACTGGAGGAATCCATAGCAGGGCCATGAGCTTTGTGCTTCTGAGCTCCCACTGTGCCAGAGGCACTGGCACACACCCTGAGGGGGGCCACAGCACCCCCATCACTACAATCCCTTGTGGTGAGCTGGGCCAGGAGCTGTGCTGCTCCAGCCTGGTGGACACTGCAGGTGCCACCAGCAGTGCCAGCACTGGGTGCCCAGAACCAAGAGCTGTCCGTGCTCAGTCAGTCCCTATCTGTTCTCATGGCAGGAGTGCTCAGGTAAGCAGCCACAAGCCAGTGACTGGGAGCTGTGGCAATGCTGGGAGCCCTTGGGAGGGATACAGGGGGAGATCCAGGAGGGAATGGATTGCAGTGTAACCCAGGATACACCCACCCCTCCCTCCCTCCCCATCTCTGGCAGTGGCCAGGCACGATGTGGCAAGGTACAGGGGTCTGAGGTGGGACCCCCACTGTGCTCCCCCAGGGGAGAAGCAGCTCTCCCACCAGCCCTGCGTGTCCCCCCCAGCTCCCCGCAGTGGGGTGATCGTTGGCGCAAGCGGAGCTGACGTCCCGCCCGGCCTTGGCGGAGAAAGGATTGAGCATCCTTTAAAGAAAATTATACATAATCGTCTTACAGCCTTTGCTTCCACTCAAACCTCTGAGTCATAACTGAAGGGCCCTGGAGCGTGACGTTCCTGCTGGAAGGAAATTGCCTCGGCTGGATCCGGTGGGGGCGAGCCAGGGGCCTGACAAAGCCTCTCCTCAGCCCTGCTTTGGGCTGGGGGCTGCGCCGTGTTGCAGAGGCAGCACCCCGGGATGCAGCCACGCCCCTCTGTCACTCCCTGAGCGAGGGGATATGACCAAAGCCCCCTGTGGCTGTGGCAGCAGGAGATGTGTCTGGAAATGGCTCTTCACCTGCTCTGCTGAGTCACAGGGAGCTGGGGAGGGAGACGGGCTGATGACACCCATCGGGGTGTTCCCTCCGGGGACAGTGACACACCTGAATCCCAGCCCTGCCAGGAGAGGCTGCGCTGTCCTGTTCTGCAAACACACTCAGCCCCTGGGTACCCCAGAGATGGTACCTGGGGCTGGGTCCTGCAGGGAAGGCAGGAGGAAGAGGAGTGACCTCGTCCACTGCTCCTCAGAGGAGCCGGGCTGCTGCCTGAGGTCCGGGGCAGGACACACAGTCCAGGGAGGAGGGGACACTGTCTGTGTGCTGGGGGAACGGGGGCCAAAACCAGTCCTGGAGGGGAGTGGGAAGGGAGATGCACTTTGAGGCTCCCAGCCTTGCACATCCCAGGTTGGGGATCCCTCGCAGGCGCAGGAACAGGTTCACATTTCCCGCAGGAGCAGGATCCGTGCCGGGCATTGGGAAGGGGATGCTCCTTGGGGATCTGCTGCCACGCCCTCACCGTGGCCGTTCCCTTGCAGGACAGGTGCCTGAGGAGGAGGCCGGGCAGAACGGGCAGAGCCGCGGCAGGGGACTGCCCAAGGCCGTGTGCATGAACGGGACGGAGCCGGGGCAGCTGAGCACCAGGGCCAAGGGCGAGCGCCGGGCCAGCGCCTCCTCCAACCCCTCCCGCAAGGCCTGCTCTGCCAGCAGCAAGATCCGCAAGCTCTCCACCTGCAAGCAGCAGTGAGCTCTGCCCAGGTACTGCTGGGACACCTTGGGGTCTGCCTGAGGGGGTGGGGGGCCATGGGCAGGAGGAGGGAGTTGAGGGGTGATTTGTAGTCTGGGTCCTGCACATCCCTCTGCAGAGTCCCTGGTACCCACTGTCTGGATCCCCTGTGGTGCTGTGGACCCCCCATGCCCTGCTCTGCCCACCTGGCTCTGCTCTATTCTGCCTTGTCATGTAAGAGGTGCTCTAGTGATCCCTGTCCCCTCCTGGGCTGTGGCCGGGCTGTGCCGTGACTCCCCCTTTCCCTGGCACCAGGGTCCCTCTGCCCTGCTCCCAGCCTCACCACACACCTGGATTTTGGGAGCACAGAGGGATGCTGAGCTCCAGGGTGTCCCCAGAGAGGATCCCCATGGGACGTACCCCTGGCCCTGGAGGTGTCCCTGTCACCCATGGCCAGGCCACTGCCATGCCCAAGCCGCTTCCAGGGGAAGCTGAGCCCACTCCCTGCTTCCCTTCCTCCTTCCGGCTCCTTCCTCCCCAGCTCCAAGCCCTGTCCCCTCCTTCCCACCCCTCATTCATAACGGAGCCAGCAGTGACTCATGTTCAGCCTCATCCGCCCCCGGCCTCATGCTCGTCACGGCGCTGCTGGGGCTGAGCTCTGTTATCTCCTGGATCACGACCAGCTTTGTGGTGTGAAAAAAGCCCGAAATAAAAGCTGGATCCTCCCCCTGCAGCTGTCAGAGGCCCGTGGCAGCTCCATCTTTAATTCATGGGGGCAGTGAGTCACCTGCGGGGAGTCAGTGCAGCCCGAGCCTGGGATGGGGCTCCCTGGACCTGCTGCTCCTCCTGCCCCTTCCTGCTCACTGCTGCTGGAAAGGGAAGCTCCGTGAGGGCTGCCCAAGCCTGGCTGGGTCACTCCCCCCCCTTAGCCTAGAAACCTTTGGAAGGAAGGGAATGCTCCCCTCGGTGGCATAAATGACATTCCTTGGCACTGTTTTCTCCTCAGGGTTTTGCTTTGGGCAGGTCTGGGGTCACCTGGCTGAGGGACCATGTTCTGTGGGAGCCCCCAAAACCTTCCAGGGACAGCACAGGGATCCCAGGGTGCCAGAGGGAGGGTGCAGGGCAGGAGCAGAGCCAGCAGCCCAAACTGGGCACCCTCTGACCCCCTTCTCTCTCTTCTCCCCCACAGCATCCCCGGGCCTGGGCCAGCCTACATCCCCCTCCTCACCCCAGCTCTGCCTCTCTCCTGGGACTGGACTGTGCTTGCAATCCAAAAGGAAACCAGGGGAAACCAACCAAGGAGCCCCCCTTCCCTCCCCGCACCCCCTGCTCCAGCCAGCGCCAGGACACCGAGCTGCAGTGGCCGGACTTTCCCTGCCGGACACCTGGAAGTTGAACTCTGCGGCTGCCAGGACGCTGCCCCCCCTCCCCCCAATCACTCTTTGCCAATCAAGACACTGATTCTGTTTTCAATTTTGCGATGGGAAGGGTGGGATGAGGGGTCGGGGGGGTGGGACCCTCCCCCTCCCCCCTGCCAGGCCCCCCCGGCCGTGTAGAGTCGTGCAAAGCCATTGCCGTGCACTTTATGTTTTAGACTACTGTTATATATTATATATTTTCCTCTTCTTTTTTTTTTTTTTTTCGTTTTGTTTTGTTTTGTTTATATTTGCGGTATATTTAGAGATTCCTACACATCGTGATGTGTTAAAATAAACCAGATGAGGAAAAAAAAAAAAAAACAAAACAGGTATTAAGACAAAGCAGAACTCTATTACACCTGCATGCTGCACGGGGGCTCGGAGGGGCTCAGAAGGGAGCAGGGCCCAGGAAGGGCTCAGAGCTTGGGAAGAATCTGGGCTCTGAAGGGATTGGGGCACTGGCAGCCACTTGGCTTTTTTTCTGCTTTTATTTTTTTTTTTCTTTTTCCCCCTTTTTTCCCTTTTTTCTTTTTTTTTTTTTTCCTTTTTTAAAGAAAAATAAAGTGAAAACAGCAGGTGGGTTTCATGTCCTTCCTCCTGCAGCAGGCAGGGTCAGGGGCACAACCAGCCCCTCCTCCTCCTCTTCCTTTTGGAGGTTTGCCCCCCAGGCAAACCCTACACTTGTGGGGCAATGCCAGGCCCAGACCTCAACCCCACAGCAGGCACCATCCCGGGAGGCAGAAGGTAAGAAAAGAGCTCAGAGACATCACGGTTGGTTGGTTTTGGTTTTTCTCCTTTGTTTATAGACTTAAAAACGCAGAGGTGATGGAGGGAGGGCTTTGGGCAGAGCCTGCGCAGAGGGAAGGGGCAACCCGGCCTCTACTCGCATGCAATGGGGGTTTGGGGGGGCCCTGCCTGTCCCCCCCCGGCTGCCGAGTCCCAGGTCCCACAGCCACGGCTGGGCTGGGAGATTCTTTTTTTTCTCTTTTTCACCCGTCCTTTGAAACACAAATAAAAACCCAATAAAAAGCAACCACCACCACCACCACCACCCCCCGCGGAGCAGTAGCCGCCTCTGTAAAAATCAATAAATATCCTTGAGCCCCCACTGAGCTCCTGGGGTGGTGGGGGGCACTGGGGACCACCCCACAACACACGCTGGGGATGCCCCACTCTGCTCTCACCCTGTACCCTGGGCCAGGGGGCAGCACCAGGGGCACGCACCGGGCAGCCCCCACCCCTCCGGGGGGTATTTTTGGGGTCCCCGGGGCCGATCCTGCTCCCCCAGCACTTTGGCTGCCACTCTGGGGCCCCCCGGAGGTGCTTGAGCCCCTCAAGAATCCCCCCTGGCCCAGGCCCCCTGCTTCCAGTTTAGATCCCAGGCTCCCTGCAGATCTTTTGGGGGGGGAGGGATTGGGATTGAGGAGGTGAATCCCCCCTCCCCAAATTGGCCAGGGTGGCACCGCAGCATCCCCCGGAGCGGGGACACCCAGCTCCGGCCCCTTCCTGGCGGGGACATTCCCGGCCGGACGAGAGGCTTATTGCTTGTAAAACCAAGAGAGAGGGGAGAGCGGAGGTGCCACGGGGGCTCAGCGGGCTGGGGGCTTCAGCAAAGTCCCTCAGCGCTGACCCCCGGCCACTGCTCGGCTTCTCCTCCGTACCCCGACCCTCGGGGCTCCCCCAGCCCGGGCTCTCGCTGCCAGGAGCTGGGAGGCTCGGCCACCCCACGCTATCGGAACCCCCCCCCGCTATGGGGGTACAGTCAGGGGCCCCCACGTGCCCTCCTGGCCTGGGCCGGGACCCCCTTCCCGCACCGGGCACCCCGTGCCGGCAGCAGGAGGGGATGGAGCCCCGAACCCTGGTGAGGGCCGAGCCCTCCTGTGCTGGGGTCTCTCCCCCTCACACTGGGCCTAGACCGTGCCGTGGTCGGGGGGGGCATCACTGGCCGCCACGGCCACCGTGCACTCGGGGGTCTCTCTCTCTGCCGCTTTCCTCAGGTGCCCATAGAGCCGCTCCTCCAGGCCGCCGGCGATCTTGTCCATCAGCTCCGAGCCGGAGCTCAGCCCCAAGCACCTCCCGGGGCCGGGGCAGTCATCGTCCTCAGGGGGCTCGGAGCCAGCCTTGGGCTCGGGAGCTGCCTCTCCGGGCTCCTCCACGATCACCTGGATCTCAGGGTCAGGCAGCGCCGGGGCAGGGGGGACCCCATCGGCCGCCTCGGCCGCCTCCTCGTCGCCGGCGCTGACGATGCGGGGCAGGGGGCTGTGGAACCGGGAGTCCAGGGGGTAGTTGGCGCTGTCGCCGCGGCGCAGGGGCGTCCGGTGCCTTTCCAGCGCCGGGTACCGCACGCCGGGGTCGCTGAACTGCTTCGTGTGCTGCCACTGCTTGCGCAGGTGGGTGCGGGAGCGGTGCTTCCCCCGCAGCGGGGACTCGTCGAACTGGGGGTCATGGCGCACGAAGGCGTTGAACAGCGCGTCCGTCTTCTCGTCGATGCTGTAGTCCCGCCGGGGCAGCCCTTCCCGCCCCGGGAACATTTGCCCGTACGGGGACCAGGCCAGGGGGCTGTGGGGACGGAGGTGTCCCCCACCCGCTGCGCCCAGGGTCGTGCTCCCCCCCTCCTCCTCTTCCTCATCTTCTTCCTCCTCCTCCTCCGGCTCCCGGCCCTCGAAGCTCTCGAAGATGGTTCCTTTCCGCCCGGCGCTGGTGAAGCAAATGCGCTTCTCGGAGGCCGTCTGGTCCTTGGGGGGCCCTTCCTCGCCCCCCCGGCTGGGCGCCTCGATGGAGGCGTAGCCACTGTCCATCTGCAGCAGCTTGCGTGTGCCGGGCTCCGACTCCTCCGGCTTGGGCCGACCCCAAAACTTCTCCTCGGGACCCTCAGCCTCGTCCAGGGAAGGGGAGGGGCAGGGGGGCACGCCGCTGGCGGAGGACACGCTGTCCCCGCCATCGCTGCGCACCGAGTCCTGGTCGTTGCTGCGCTCGGAGGCCGCGTACAGCTCCAGCGAGGCGCGCAGGCTCCAGATGTCGTGGTAGGCGCTGGGCTGCTCGGGCACGCCGGGCTCGCCGGGGCTGCCCGCGCCCCCCTCGCCTGGCTCTAGCCTGTGGGCACCACCCCGGTGTCACGTCAGGGACCGGACAGACCCCGCAGGCAGCGGGCAGGGATGTGCAGCCCGGCCGCTGCAGGCTCCACAGCAGTGCCATGGTGCCACCCGGCCCTCCATGCTGTCCCCACCACCGTGCCCATGCCCCAACCCAACCTCCCCATCACCAGCCCCCATCCAGACCCCTCACCCCAGACCCGGTGGCCCCACCAGAGCCGCAGAGGTGGGAGCCCCCCATGCCCAGGGCAGCGCGGGGTCCCTCGGTGCCTTCCCGGTGCCCGGCTCACCCATCCCCGTCCCCTCTTATCTACTGAAAAATACCTGCCGAGAGAGGGTGGGGGGCTGGCGGGGGAGGGCAGGAAGGGGCCCCCCGCGGGGTGGAAGGACACGTCGTCCGTGTGGGCAATGTACTGGATGATGTCGGTCTGATGGGGGTCCCGATCCTCCTGGTCCATGCTCTCGCTGGCCGCCCGCTGCCTCTGAAACTGCCGACGCTTGGGGGACCCTGGGGGGCGCAGGGCAGGGCTGGGGGAACAAACCCAACGGGCACCACCAGCCCCCCACCCACACACATCTGCCCATCCTGCCCGGCCCCGCAGGGCCCCTCGCTGACCCCCACCTCTGGTGTCCAGGCTGGACGCCCGCTGGGTGCTCTCCAGCTTCCACTTCTTGATCCTGAAGTAGGGGCTGGCCCCGTCCAGGCTGGCGTGGCGGCGCAGGCGGGTGAAGAACTGCAGGACGGTGCCCTGGGGGGGGGTCGGGGGGGGCTCCCCGGGGCCGGCACTGCCTGCCCCAGCCGCCTTCCCACTCCTGGGTGCTGCTGTGAACTGGGGGCATGGGGGGGCCGTGAGTGCCTGCTCGGACCCAAGCATGCCCCCCCAGTCCCCCCGCGTCCCACTCGGCTCCTTTGTCCGCTCTGCAGAGCTGGGCTGCAGCAGATGCACAAATGTCCCCCGGGGCAGGGACGAGGCGGGGGGGACAGAACCTGTTTCTAGCTGGATGCCCACATCTCTCCCTGAGACCTGGCACGGAGCAGGGGGGCAGGGATGGGATCTGGGGGAGCAGAGAGGGAGCAGGACAGGACCCTTGGGACTGTGCAGGCTGGGAGCCCCTTCCCCGGCCCAGTCTTGACCTCCCGCCCCAGCACTCACCGAAGGCCCCTCCCCGGAGTCGGAGGAGGCAGACGGGCTGGCCTCTGTGAAGCTGGTGTCCACAGTGGAGTTGTAGGTGTCCCCAGGCAGGGCAGAGCTGGGGCCCACGGCATGGCTGGGGAGCACTGGCCGGGGCAGGGCCCCTGCAGGGGTCTGCAAGGCAGAGCATGCTCAGGGGGTCTGCACAAGGGTGGGGACCAGGAAGGGCCCCTGCACCTCAGGACCTCAGGACCTCCTGCCTCTACTTCCAGTAATGCCCTCACCCTAGGCGCAGCAATGCCTCCCTGGGGTGCTGCAGGATACCTGGCCCCCATATCCCACCTGTCCCTAGGACACTGGGGGCTCACCTGGAAGATGGCGAGACCGGGCTTGGGTGGGGGCAGGCGGGGGGTCATGGCCAGGCTGTTCTCGCTGGACTCGCACTCGTGGATGGTGACAATCTTGAGGGCAGGCGGTGGGAGGTGCAGGTGAGTCAGGCGAGCATTCTTCAGGTGGTGGAAGTCCCCCTCTGTCAGTGTGTACCTGTGGGACACACAGGTCAGGAGGGGCAGCCCCAACCCCCTGTCTCCCCCATCAGCCCAGAGCTTCACCTCCTCCCCTTCTCCTGGGTCTTCTTGCCCTGTTCAAAGAGCGCGGCCTCGTTGAAGGAGACGCGCCGGGCAGTGGAGGAGCTGGAGGACAGGAACCGCTCGCTCTCTGCATCCCGGTAGCTGGAGGACGACAGGCACTCAGGGTCCTCTGCTTTGCCGGTGATATCTGCAGAGAAGAGGATCAGCAACCAGCTCCCCCCACCGTGGTGCACCCCAGCCTCCCCAGCTGAGGCTTGGCAAACTTGCTGCACTCATGGCCTCAATGCCAGCCCGGAATTCTCTGCTCCCAACTGCCAGTCCCGCTCTACAGCCAGGGATGGAGAATGGAGGCCACAAGGAGTGTGTGGTGGCCACTGCCGCGGGGCCAGGGGCTGCACCTTGGGAGGGGAGGGCCCAGGAGCTGCCCCAACCCCTCCCCGGAACTTGGGATGCAACCGGGGGGGGGTCAGCGCAGCACTCGGGTCACTCACCCTGCGCCTGCTGCGAGTCATCCAGGTACGTGGTGTTGGTTTTCTCGGGGTCATCGCTGGCTCTGCGGGGGGAGCAGGGTCAGAGGCGCCCCACGACCCTCCTCGCGGTGCCGCACACCCCGGGGACAGCGGCATCACCCCTTGCCCACCTGGAGTGCCGGCGGTCGGCCTCGCAGCAGCGGCGGCAGATGATCAGGATGCCCGAGAGCAGGACCAGAGTGCCCCCGATGAAGATGGAGAGCAGGGCGAGGAGCAGCACGTACCCATCCTGAGGGGACACCTCGCCGGGCACCGCCTGCCCGAGGCCGAGGAGCTGAGCCGTGGGGACATGCTGGGGGACCCCGGCCCACCCCAAACCTGCCCCCGCCGCGCTGACGCCAGCGCTGCTCCCCAGAGCCGCCGCGCCCCCCCACCCCCCGCCGCCCCCGAGCCCTGCCTGCACCAAGGCAACGGCAGCCGGGGGGGCTGAGCCGCCCGCGGCCCCCGCGCCGAGCGGGAGTGGGAACGGGATTGGGGATGGGGACAGCGACAGGACCCCCAACCCTGCCCCACCGCGGGGGTAAGTGCTCGCTCTCCCTGCCCGGGGGAGAGGGGCTGATCCGGCAGCAGCCCCCAGGCCCCTGGACCCCCAGCAGCCAGAGCATCCCAGCGGTGCACAGGGCACTGAGAGCTGTCACCCACTCGCAGCACTGGCAGAGCAGGGGGTGACAGTGGGGCTGCTGCCGTCCCCACCCGAGCGAAGACGCAAGCCCCACGGCAGCCACGAGAACCCCACAGCTCCCAACATGCATCCCCCCTCCCGCGGGACCCTGAGGCTGGCGGCGTGGGGAGGGGCGGCACAGACAGGCAGGGACAGGCAGGACTCACCGTGGCGCTCTCGGTCGCGTTGTCCCAGGGTGTTGGGTCATCGCTCATGGTCTGTCCCGGCCCGAGCGTGTCCTGGGGCGGGGGGAGACAGAGGGAGGCACCGGCCGGGACGGCGGGGCCGGGCCGGGGGCGGCGGCGGCGGCTCCTGCCCGGCCCCTGCCCGGCACCGCGGTGCGGAGCTGCCGGGAGGGACCGGGAGGGAGGGACCGGGATGGAGAGATGGAGGGAGGGACCGGGATGGAGGGATGAAGGGAGGGTGTGCTCAGGGGAAGGATGAAGGGATGGAGGGTGTGGTCAGCAGCGAAGCAGGGATGGACGGATGGAGGGATGGGGAGGAGGGGGCAGAACCGCTGCCCCTCCCCAGGGAGCCCCTCACCCCCACTGGGCACAGCCACCCCCCGCGCCCAGCCCCCAGCCTCGCGTGGGCACAGCCCCCAGCCCCGCGAAGAGCGGCCACGGTCCCCACACCCGGCTGGGGCCGGACCCCCCAAACGGTGGCTGATGCCGGTGGCCAGAGCCGGCCCAGAGGGTGAAGTCCCTGCTCCGGATCCGGGGTGACACCGCGCTGCCGTTCCCGGGGGCCAAATGCGGCCCCAGCCCCGCCGCCGGGGGACCCGCTGCCCGCGGAAGCTCGGGGGGAGCCGCGCCGGGGACTCCCGGCAGGGACAGGGGGCAGGTGGCCGCCCCACAGCTCGTGGCGTGGGTGTCGCCGGAGCACGACGGGTGACGCTCGTGAGTCATCCCGAGAGCGGCTCCGTCACCGGGCTGTCCGCGCGGGGGGGACACCGAGGGGCCGGGGGGGCCGGGCCGGGCTCCTGAGGACCGAGAGCCGCCGGGACAGGGGTCCCGCTCCCCTCCGTGGCATCGGGTCCTGCGGCCTTTGGGGACCTCGTCACCCTCCCGCGTATCCGGCCCTTCCCGTGTGTCCCCTCCGTGGGTCCCCTCCGTGGGTCCCCAGGCTGCTGAAGGGGGTGAGCCTGAGGTGGGTGGGCGATGCTGTGTCGGGGACCCCCGGAGCGGGCAGGGGTGGGCACTTGGAAGCCGCTCAAAATTAGGTCAGTGAAAAATGTGAATGGAGCTCGTGAAGGGGTGGGGACTGTCACTCGTGGGGACAGCGCAGGGGTGGCCGTGTCGCAGCTGGCAGTGAGGGACGGTGATGGCTGAGGGCAGCACTGTCACAGGTCAGGGTACCAACCCCTTGGAGGGATATCGGGGTATTGGGGGCCTTTCGAGGAGGGGAACCCCCTGCCCACACTGGCCCTCGGGCATGTCCAAGCTGGTGGGATGCAGCACGAGGTGAGGGGACCCCCGAGAAAGGGTAAGGGGATGGGGCGGCCCCGCTTCCGACCACATGGGGGGATCCCGGGTGAGGGGGTGCGGGATGGGCACCCCACGGGCGGGATCCCTGTGGGGCATCCTCAGGCCCCAGGCGGGGGGAGCAGGGGGCCAGGGGAGCAGGAAGAATATCCCTCCTGTTCCCCATCATGGAGGAATCCCGTCTCCATGGCGACCTGACAGGAACAGGACGGCCATTGTCTGGAGGAGGGGGCCGGTCCCCGGGCTGTCCCCCCCGAGGGGGACACGGGGCGGGACCCTGGGTCGCCGCCAGTGCCCGAGGCGGGGGCTCGAGGTCGGGGGACCCCGGTGGTGCCGCGCCTCCGCACGTGGGAAGGGGTGCGGGGACGGGCCGGGGCTGCGCCCCACGCGTGTGTGAGACCCACGGGGTCCGGCTGGGCTGGGGGCGCGGGGGGGAGCCGCTCTGCCCCCTGTGACTGCAGCCTCGCGCCCCAGCCCGGTGATGGGGATGCAGTCAGGGATGTGGGGCGGGGATGGAGGCAGGGATGCGGGATTCAGGCAGGCATGCGGGATGCAGGCAGGAATGTGGGGCAGGGATGGAGCCAGGGATAGAGCCAGGGATAGAGCCAGGGATAGAGGATGCGTGATGAGGGATGAGGGCAGAGATGTAGGACAAGGATGTGGGGCAGGGATGAGGGATGCAGGCAGAGCTGGTGACAGGGCTGCCGATAGGGCTGGTGACAGCGAGGCAGGAGCACCCGGGACCTCCACGCGCGGCAGGGCGTGATGGTCTCCCCTCGGCCGGGCCGGCTCACTGTGTCGCGATAGGGGCTGTCGCGAGGCGGCGGAGCCAGACACTCACCTACAACCGAGACCGGGGCTCCATCGCCGCCGCTGCGCTCGGTGCGGCGGGGCGGCCCCGGGATTTATGAATGAACCGGAGCCGCCCCCGCGCGGCGCGGGCGTCACGTGGGGACAGGGGCTGCCCCAGCCCCTGCCTGCACCAGCCCTGCCTGTCCCGCCCGGACCCCCTGCTCCTCTGCCTGCCCCACAGTCCTGCCTCTAACTCCTGCCTTCGCCCTTCCCGTGCCCCTGCCTGCAGCTCTGCCTGCACCCCTGCATTTATTCCTGCCTGCCCCAGTCCTGACTACACCTGTCTGCCCCAGCTCTGGCTACACCGCTGCCTGCTCCAGCCCTGACTGCGCTCCTGCTTGCATCCCTGCCTGCACCATCCCTGCCTACACCAGCCGTGCCTCCATCCCTGCCCTCACACCTGTCTGTACCAGCCCAGACTGCACCACCCTTACCTGCATCCCTTCCTGCACCAGCCCTGCCTGCACCAGCCCTTCTTGCATCCCTGCCTGCATCTCTGCCTGTACCACTCCTGCCTGAACCCCTGCCTGCCCAATAGCCCTACCTGCATCCCTGTTTCACCTCCCTGTCTCCATCCCTGCCCCGGAGCCCCCCGAGCCGCTAGGGCACGGCTGGACCAGGGGCCGGGGGTGCGGCGTCCCCTCGGTGCAGAGGCGGAGCGGGCCCCCCCGCCCAGCACCACGGCACTCTGCAGGCGGGAGAGACTACAACTCCCATAAGGCCAGGCGGCGCATCGTGACGCTTTTCCTCCGCCGGGCGGCGCGCGGGGTGCGCCGGGAGCTGTGGTCCGGTGCCGTCCCGGCCTGCCCCGCGCCGCCGCCGCTGCCGCCATGGCCGCGATGTTCTGCGCCCGCCGCCTCCTCCGCCTCGCCCGCCCCGCGCTGTCGCTGCCCCCCGCCCGCGGCTATGCTGATCCCGCCGGCGGCCCCACTGCCATGGTCTTCACCTTCGCCTCACCCACACAGGTAGGCCCGCCCCGGCCCCACTCCCTGTGCCCCGCCGCCGCCTCGCTCGGTGTGTCCTGAGGGCCGGGGGCGGGCAGGACGCGGCCGGTGCTGCCGCCCCCGCGGGGCAGTCCGTTCCCGGGGGCTCTGCTGTTCCCGGGGCATGGCCGGGCTGTCACAGAGCTGTCACCGGGCTGACCTTGGCCCTGACCTCGGGCCTTGCCCGCCTGCCCCGGTCGCTCGGTCCCCGCAGCGGCGCTCCCGGGCCTGCCTGAGGCCGGTCCAGCACCGCTGCTGGACCCGCTGTGCCTGCCAGGCCCGGCCCCGCCGCAGCGCCCCGGCCCGCAGCGGGACACGGCCGGTCCGCCCCCGCCGGGCCCGGAGCTGTCCTCGGGGCAGGGCGCGGGCTGGCGCTGGGGACAAGGACAGCCCGGCAGCGTGGGCCGCAGCGGGGACGGCAGCTCGGGGCTCCCCACGCGCTTCCCAGGCTGCTCCCGGCTGAGCCGGCGCCTCTCGCCCACTCCCGACTCTGTGTCTCCATGTGCCGCCTCCCTGCCGTGCCCCTGGGAGCTGGGAACGCTTCCCCACTGCCTTTGCCAGGAGCTCTCCTCCAGAGCCCAGCTCCACTCCCACCCTGTGCAGGTGCAGCCTGTCCTGGGCACACCTGGGCGTGCTGAACCTGCCAGAAGCTGAGCTGTTCCCTCGGGATGGGCTCTTTCCTGGCCTCTCCAGAGCCACCATCCCTGGTGACTGTGCCCCTTTGCCCGCTTCATCCAGGTGTTCTACGACGGTGCCAACGTGAAGCAGGTGGATGTGCCCACGCTGACCGGCTCCTTTGGCATCCTGGCATGCCATGTCCCCACGCTCGAGGTGCTCCGGCCGGGCGTTGTCACAGTCCACGCCGAGGATGGGACGGCCACCAAGTACTTTGGTGAGCGAGGCAGGAGAAGCTGGGGAGGAAAGGTGTGCGTGGGGATGGTGTTCTTGGCATTTTCACAAGGGAGGCTCTGCCCATCCAGGTGTGGCCTGGTGTACTTCCAGGGATTTCTGCTTTCCCAGCCTGCCAGGGGCTGCTGGAAGCTGCTCTGGGAGCCATGGGCGGGGGTCAGGTCTTGGTTCTGCTCAGGCTCTCTGGGAACATCTGCTGCTCCACTTCGCCTTGGGGTGGAAACTGAGTCCCTGAATGCTGGAAATGTGACAGGAGGGGGCCGAGGGTTTGTTTTGGGAAAGGATGGTGGGGATGCCTGGGCTGAGCCCCTCTGGCAGCCCTGGCTGACCCACCCCATGTTGTGCCTCGCAGTGAGCAGCGGCTCTGTCACTGTCCACGCCGACTCCACGGTGCAGGTGCTGGCAGAGGAGGCAGTGACCATGGACATGCTGGACCTGGCTGTGAGTACCCAGAGATTTCACCAGCCGTGGTCTCCCTCCCTGAGGGGAATTTGTCTCACTTCTCTGCTCTGGGGTCCTTGTCTTGGGAGCTTCCAGTGCCCAGAACTCAGGGTTGTGCCTGCACCTCCACTACATTTTGCAATCAGAGGCTTGGGGCTCCTGCATGGTGAACTCTTTGGAGAGAGGGAGCTCTGCACTCGTAAATCTCCACACTGTTTCCCACCCCTTGGACAGACACTGACCTTGTCCTCACCTCCAGAACAGCTTTTCCCTGCTGATAAGGTGTCTGGGGTCAGCACAGCTGTGTCTGTAGCTCTGTGGGGCTGCCAAGTCAGTGGGTCCTTGGCATCCATATGAAGGATCAGTGGCTGCAGGGGAGGGAGGGAAGGATAGTCCCTTCTCCTGCAGTGTCTCCCAATGACACACATTCTTTATGCCCTCATGTCTAGACTGCTAAATCCAACCTGGAGAAAGCTGTGTCAGAGCTGGCAGCAGCGTCCGATGAAGCTGCTAAAGCAGAAGCTCAGATTAAAGTAGAAGCTAATG